CCCGCCCCCCGTTTCGCCGCCGTCACAGGGGAGAGCAATGACAACCTCTCGGCGTATGGCCAATGCCTCCCCTCAAGACCGCTTGAACGTGGAGCCCCGAGATCACCACCGCAAGGGGGGCATGGGTCACCGCTTCACGCCCCCCCCCCATTTAGGAAGATAAGGTTTCCACCCAAGGCCTGAAACCGCCAAAGTTGTGACGTTTTGCTACGGGAAAGGCAAAACTTGCCAATGCAGGAAAATTCCTTTCCGGCCCTTCAACAGCGACCCTGACGTAGCAGGGCCCGCGTACCTGTGGAGAAGAGGTTAACCTGCAAAAGAAGGCTTAACTGAATGAGGGCAGGGTGGGAGAAGCTCTGGAGCCAACTGATGCTTCGCAGGTAGGATTCACCTTCCATTGTGTGGGCAGGGCGGTCCCTCCCCCTACCTGGCCGATCCCCTGGCAACGCCTCCCCAGGCAGGATTGGGCAATTGGCTGAGGTAGGCGGAGACCTCCAGGTATCCAGCCTGGGGAGGGCGAAGCCAGCCCGTACTACCGGGAGCTGCACTGGGATCTGGGGGGCTGCGTGCGACCACGCAAAAGGCGCCCCCCATTTGATGTGGGGAGCAGTCATTATGACAACAGCCAGAGCTGTTCGGCAGTGGAACGAATTCCCACAAGAGGTGGTGGACTCTCCTTCTCTGGAGGTTTGTAAGCAGAGGTTGAATGGCCATCTGTCATGGATTCCTACATTGCAAGGAGTTGGGACTAGATTACCCTTGGATCCCTTCCAACTCTATGATTCTATGAGAGAGGGAGAAAACCTTTCCATATCGACTTTCTCCATGCCATGCATAATTTTATAAATTTCTATCATGTTACCACTGACTCAAAACTAAAAAGTCCTCAACCCTTCCTCACAGGGGAGTTGCTCTACCCCCTTGATCATTTTGCTCACGCTTCTCTGAACTTTTTTTCAACTCTACCTCACCTGAGGTGACTAGAATTGCCCAAATGTGGCTGCACCATAGATTTGTATGATGGCATCATGATATGGGCAGCTTTATTTTCAATTCCTTTCCTAATGATCCCTAGCACAGGCTGTGCCTTTTTCTCAGCTGCGGAAAATTGGGTCAACATAGAACTTTGCATAGAAAATTGAGTTTTGCATAGTAATGTTAAACTACGCTCTTGTAGCTGTGGGGAAAAGAAACATCGTTTTCTCAATGTACTGTGTGTGTGTGTGTGTGTACAAACTTCATGCATTTGATAATGTGATTTCTATTAGTCCACGAACACATATGCCACCATAAATACATCAGATTTTGAGGTGTCAGGAAGCTCTTTCCCCTGCCTTTAGCTTATTAAACATTAAATTTGTATCAGAAATATGTAGCATGTGATTGTTCCTTTTTTCAATTTTTTTCACTCTTTACACATTTCACCATCCCACCCCACCTAGCACTAATTATTTATGTATTAATAGAAAAGAATGGAAAAGGTAGCCAAGTGAAGCACTGTTTATTAAAGCCCTTTGAGTTAAGTGGGCATTTTTTGCTGAAAGCGGCAACCCATAAATCCTTAATTTTGGCTGGAGCATATTCCTCCTCCTTAATGTGGCCATGTTTTGTTAAGAGTAAATTATTCCTGCTGAAGACTGAGTTCCCACCCTCATCTGCTACCTAAGAGCAACTTGGCCCAGTGGAAGAGTTTTGTGCTTGATTTTTAACTGGTAATGGATCGTGTGAGAAAAAGACATGAAGGCCCCTGCCTCAGTAGCAGCTCTCCTGCCTTGCAGTTGTTGGGAGATGTGGCATTCTCTGTTCACCCACACAGAGTGTAAATAGTCTACATCTGCCTGAGACAGCTGCATATGACAAAGTGGCAGCACAGCCATTCTTATCTTGTAGACAAGGGAGAAAAAGGGGAAAATGGAAATACCTTACATACCTTGTCTTTATTCCTTTCCCTCCTTTCATTCCTTAATAAACATTGCATAGAAGACTGTTCCTGCCATGCACAGTGATTGGAACTCAATTTGTTTTATCTTATACCAGGGAAAGAAGCTGTGTGCTAATGAGAGTGATACTCCATTTTGCCACCATATTTTACAGTACAAAAATGATCCGGCACTGGTGGCGTAGTGTGGGTTGCCAGTGTCCCAGGGCAGCACAAAGGGGGTGAGTGGGAGAGATTATTTTATTATTTTATTATTCATACCCCACCCATCTGGTTGGGTTTCCTCTGGGAGGGAGGGAAATGGACGAAGTATGCATGGGCATTCAACTACCGGCGTCTGCGTCACCCAAGAGATCGTGGCTGAAGAGATAAGAAAAAAAGAGTCATTCCATTGTCTGGAGAGGTCACTTCCTGGGTCACATGAAGAAGCTGTTTTCAACAGAGCTCAGTGATGGAAGCACACAGCTGTACTGAGGGAGCATCAGGTGTTGAAATTTTGCACCCCTTAACAATTTTGCACCCGGGGCAACCACCCTTGTGGCTCCCCCTCCACTACACTAAGCCACGACTTCACCCTAGCCATGTTGCTTGGCCGACATTCATTTGTCAGGACAGGAGACACTAAAGTATATAAGGGAGCTATTTGCATCCTGCTATATTTGCTATGTCCTGTCGAGGGTGCTTCCCAGTCAAAGGAATGCACACAGCAGAAACTTAACTATTGTCAAAGATAACACAGTCACTTTGACAGCTCTGGAGCACACCAATCTGGCACCTAGGAATTTATTCCCAGATTCATGCTCTGTGGAGCAGTCGCAGCAACTGGGGACCACTCCCCACCCACTAGTTCATGTAAAACCTGACGGGTTGCACGCACCTAGCTGGAAAGTACACCTGCATGAAAGCTGCTGCTGCTGCTTCTCTACCAACTTCATTTCTCGCATTCTTCTGGGAGAGAGTGTTGCAGGGAAGGGTAGGGAAGCACCTGGTCCTTCATTTGCCTGGCCTGCCTCTTGAGAGAAGCCAAAATTGGCAGATTCATCCATCCCTAGTCATAGGCCATCCTGTTCCCTCCTTTGCAACCCCACTCCTCAGCCCTCTGCAGGGCAAAAGATGACCAGGTAATCCAGTGTACTTTCCCCACCCCCACATCCTGTGCAAAACAAGAGCCAGGAGACTTCTTCTAGCCAGCTCAGAAATTCAAGCCTGACTTAGCTTTTCAAAGCAGATACAGTGGTACCTCAGGATGCGAACGGGATCCGTTCCGGAGCCCCTTTCGCATCCTGAAGCGAACACAACCCGCGACTGCGGGTCTACGCATGCGTGTGTTGCGATTCACTACTTCCACGCATGTGCGTGACATCATTTTGACCGTCTGCGCATGCACAAGCGGTGAAACACGGAAGTAACACATTCTGTTACTTCCGGGTCGCTGCAGAGTGCAACCCGAAAGCGCTCAACCTGAAACGTATTCAACCCGAGGTATGACTGCATATCCATTTCCATTTTTACAAGTTGATACCTACTTTTAGGTTGCTTTACTGTGGGTTAATAAAACATAAGAAACAGTAGTTTTCTGTTAGGTTTGCTATAATATTTTCACGCTTATCAGTATCCGCCTAATTCATTTGATGTAGGCTTTATCCGTTTTGCACTCTTTGGCAATTTCATTTTAGCCACCTCAACAGACATCATAGGAGCCAACTTTTAGGGACTGTGGTCCCTTTATACCCCCCCCCCCCAGGCCTAAAATATTTGAGAACAGACCCTTCCAAAGTTGATGGGCATTGCCATTCAAATGAGGTGTAGGTGTGTGTGTGCGTGCGCGCGCGCTGAGTCATGTGATCATTATGGGGGGTGGGGCTTACCTGCACCCCCCCCCCCAATATTTTATTCAAGTTGGCACATCTGACAGACATGGTGATTTATGGGAAAAAATGCAGCCATATAACCTGGAATAACATGGGAACAATTCAATAAAAGGGATGTTTGGGAATGTAGTGCTAATAACACTTGCAAGTGTTAGTTTACTTTTGACCAACACAGAAACTTGAGTTAATTGGGTCCACAATGTATGTAAGTTTATTAAGCATCCTGTGGTACCTGGTTAATTTCAACTTTGGAGCCCTTGCTTGTTTTTCAGGGTACCCCCACACCTGCAAAGTGTGCTGATGTCCCTGAGGCCTCTCCAAATCACCAACTTACATAGCAGGTTCAGGGGACTGGTCACGTATGTGCGTTTGATTATTTACCAAGTAACCTATTTATTTGATTTCTTTCTTGCATTCATTTCATGCCTCTGGGGCACAGCAGGGCATGTACTTGCAGAGAGAGGAAAAGGAGGCCCTTCCAACTTGCATCTGAACTCAGGCTCTACCTCAAACAGCAAGATTGAATCTGCGCTCTGAAGCCAGGAACATTTATTTCCAGCAAGAAGCAATTCAATACACACAAGCCAGCTTGCACTGATATCACGCTCTGTGAGGTGTTGTTTTTTCATTCTGTAGAAATAAGCTACATTGGCCTATGGGTCAGCAGAACAAGACCACATGAGGCAGCTGTGCTGCTGAAACCGTTAAATGAAATTGTTGTCAGGACATACAAAATAATCCCCTGTGACAAATGTAGAAGTTAACCTGCTGCCTCACCATAATTCTAATAAATGTTCATTAATTGCAGTAGGGTTTGAACACAGATTCAGCATTATGATCATGGCAGCGGCTTCTTTTTTCCAGTTAAGTCCTGGCAGTGCTTGGTTAGAGAACTATTTATGCCAGTCCCCAGATTTAAGGATATGGGGGCTGCAGCAAGGAGGTAGAATCACTGAAAATTGCTTCTGTCCCTTTTCACTTTATCATTGGCTGAGCTGTGTGATACTGTTAGATACAACCCTGTATATGTTAAATTGTATGTTGTGTATTTGTTTTAAACCTGTATGTTGTCCAGAGCTGGTTTTTGTTTTTTGCAGAGGCAACTCATAAATGCAATTAAGATTACTGCTACCAATGATAATATTAAATTCCATAGTGAGTACAACTCCCCATTAATTAAACCACAGAGATTTGTTTCCTCTTTATTGGAATGAAATATACATTCTGTTGGCATAGTCCCCCTTTAAATGCATAATTATAAGTGTCACCTTGCTTCCAAAAAATGGGAGGGGAAAGAACAGCTCCTAGAATACCAGATGGTAAAATGAATATTACTAGTAGTAATAAATAATGCCCTTGATTGGCTCTGGGCTTTGTCTGCTCTGCCCAGGAGCAGGCCTTGCGTATAATGGAGATGAAGCCAACTTGGCCATTTGGACAATGAAAGGGATGTTTATAGAGCACCCCATGTGGCTTGAAGGCTGCAGGCCAGCCTGGCACCAGACGACTCCTAGATGGCAATGTCAGTGTTATCAATATTGTTCATGTGCTTGTCCCCTTTGCAGTAAAAATAATGGTTCCAGATCTGCAGGAACGTGGTCCTGAATTTTCTAATCCTGAAGGCATAGACGATGGGGTTCATGGCAGAGTTCCCATGCGTAAGAAATATTGCAATGTAGGTGAGGCTGCTGTGGGTCTTGCACGACGGGTAGAAAAAGCTGATACAGTTAAGAGTGTGCAGAGGCAGCCAGCTCACAGCAAACAGGAAGAGGACGAGGGCAAGAGATTTGGCGATTTGCAGCTCCTTCCCATAATACTTTTCTGGATCTGTCGAGCAGGAGGCAACCTTTTTATTAAGCTGCTTGCGGATGATCTTGAACACTTCCAGGTAGATAATGAGCATGATGAGCAACGGAGGCAATACCCATACGAAGAAGTTGAAGTAGACCATGTATTCCATGCTGATAACGTTCTCAAACTGGCAACTGACGGTGAACTCTGACTGACTGGTGTTCATCAGCTGACTCGCGTTCGCCCTCTTCTGCATTTCGTTCAGGTTGTTCCAGCCAAACATAGGGGTCAGCCCGACGAGCAAGGAAACCAGCCAGCAGCAAGCAATAGCGATTCCAGCACGCTTAGGAGTCACCACACTCTTGTAGCTGCAGAAATAACAAACAAAATATGTGTTAAGGTCTTTAACAGGCAAAATAAAATAAAAAAATCCTTCCAGTAGCACCTTAGAGACCAACTAAGTTTGTTATTAGTATGAGCTTTCGTGTGCATGAACACTTCTTCAGCCAGTCAAGTGGCAACACAGTTCAGCTCTCACAATGTTTGGACAGGGGACATAATTAAGTGTTGGTGTGTAGATGGTTTGCATGCAGAAGTAAACATAAGCTGCAAGCAAATGCAAAGACCTTAGTCTGCTTGAGACCCTGGAGAGTCACTGCCACTCTGAGCAGACAATACTGGGGTAATAAGATGGACAATTTAGTCTTACCTGGCATTTATTATTATTTATTACTATTATTTATTCAATTTGTATACCAATTTGTATTTATCAAAAGATCTCAAGGCGGTGTACAACATTAGAAACACATTGCAAAACACCAATTATAAGAACATCATAAAAACATAGTAAAAAGCATACTGACATTCCTCTCCCTAACAGTTCTCTCCCCAACACTTTTACAGGCCGTATGTTATTTAATAACCATAGGCCTGCGTAAAGTTTTTGCCTGGCATCTAAAGACATGTTTTGATGGTGCCAGGCAAGCCTCTCTGGGGAGAGCGTTCCACAAGCCACCACAGAAAAGTCCCGTTCTTTTAAAAAATAATAATTTTATTTATTTATTTATTTATTTATTGGCTTTCACATATTACATTACAATACAGGTGTACCAAAGCCAACACCATTTCCTCCCCATCCCACCATACATTTACATTTATATTTCCTCAATCCATCATATTATTCTTTTCTCCTTCCTCCCACTTGCCTCCGCCCCCACTCGATTTCCTCCACATTATACAATTTACAATAATCTTGTAAATCTTGCATTCTACAATCTTCTCAAATCATCTATATATTCTTATTATCTTTCCTTACTAATTTTTCTTCCCTCCAGTACTTCACATTTTAATCTAGGCATATTAGCGTATCTTTTTTTGAGCAATATTTTGCCATATATTCATCAAAACATTTCCACTCCTTTTTTAATTTTTGATTCGACTGATTTCTTATTATAGCAGTTAATTTTGCCAAAATTAAATATTCATTTAGTTTACAAATCCATTCCTCCTTTGTAGGTATAGTTTGCGACTTCCACCTAAAACCAAGAAAAGTCCCGTTCTTGTGTTGTCACTGTCCAAACTTTTCAGGGAGAGGGAGATGTAGAGAAGAGTCTCAGATGACAAGAGCAGGATCCGTGTTGCTTTGTATAGGGAGAGGTGGTCCTTAAGGTATTGAGGTCCTGAGCCGTGTAAGGCTTTATAGGTCAACACCAGCAGCTGCCTGTGTTCTTACAAGACAAGCAGCAATAGGAAAAGTATGCAGGGAATAATTCAGCTCTCCTTTCAGAGCAAAATGAATCTGTTGTCACAAACAGGCTGAATCTTCCTTAGTGAGATGAATTATACCTCGCCTTTCGTTCAAGGAACTCAAGGTAGCATACAATTCTCCCCTTTCCTGATTTTATCCTCACAAGTAGGTTAGTCTGATAGACACTGACTGGCCCAAGGTTACTGTCAGGGGTTCAGGAGCAGAGGCAAGGGCAAGGGAGGAAACAGAGAGCGAGGGGGAGGAGGCAGAAGAAAAGATGAGTGATGACGACGACCCGAGATCTCCGAGTCTTTCCAGTGAATCAGAAGATTCACAGAAAGGAGCACCAGTGGCCAGGGCAAGGGGGAGCCTAGGGGACACCCCAGGAAGATAGAGCCAGAGGGGACTCAGAGGGGAGCAGTTGGAAATCGGGACCAACGTCACCGCCAGAGAGCAGGGAAGAGGAAGGGCGCCAGGGATCAGCGCTGGCAACTCACAACAGGGGGAGGGCACGAGTCAGGAGTGGCCACACCCCCATCGGGGAGCGAAGAAACGGTCAGACGGAAGGTGGAAGGTTGGGCGCGCGCGCAAGTTCAAATGCACAGGAAGGTGGCGCAGTAGGCAGCCCGGAAGGGAGCCAGGTCCTAAAGCCCGCCGAAAGGAGGGAGAAGAGTCAGGGAGTCAGCGTCAGCGTCAGAGGAATCCCGGAAGGAAGAGACCCCGGGGGCAGAGGGACCCAGAGAAGAACAGTCAGGCGGAAAAGGTGGAGCAGGGCTAGGATATTAAGTTGGTGTACAAGGGCGGAGACTCAGACGGAGCTTCGCCGATCTAAGCATGAGACGTAGAGTTGCACGCAGCAGCTTGAGAATGGAAACTGTAACTCAATAAAGACTTTTGTTTAATGATCGCTGGCTAGCGTGATCCTCTGTGAGCTAGGATCTGGAAGCAGCTCTGACAGTAAGCTCCGTCTCCTAAATTGTGGGCATCTACGGCCTCGCGGAGAGGAGAGAAAGCGGGTGCCTACTAGCGAGCTCACGAACGGCAGACAATATGACGGCCGAACAGCAGATAGCGGAACTCAGAGAAGCAGTGTCACGACTGAATGCCGAGGCTCTTGCATCCAGGAAGAGAGAGGAGGACGCAGCTGCCGCCTACAGGGATCTCCAGGTCAGGTTGGAAGTGCTTACGAAGCAAGGGCAACTGACACCCAAACCGGAGGGGATTGGGTTGGGGAGACGAACAGGCGGTCTGGTCTCTCACTTCGATGGGAATTTGCAACAGTACCCCAACTTTAGAGCAGATGTAATGTGTGCACTGCAACTGCTGAACAAAGACTTTAGAGATGAGCAAGAGAAGGTGGGATTCATCATGTCCCATTTGCATGGAGATGCTAAAGCATGGCTGCGCAATTTGTGGAGAGATAAGGATCCGGCGCTCCAAAATGCGGATGCCTTTATTAAAGCGATGGATGGGTGCTTTTATCAAGCATTGACGTGGATCTTGCTCGGCAGCAGATACATGGACTGAAGCAAGGGAGGGCCAGCGTAAGGCAGTACCATGCCCGCTTTTCGCTTTGGTCAGTGCTCTGGAATGGGACAGAGATTCGGCTCCTGTAAGAGACCTGTTTTGGGAGGGATTGCACGGCTCGGTTAAAGATGAATTTGCGAGAGGGGAGAGACCCCGGACCACGCAGGAGATCGTTCAGAGGGCGCTGGCGGTGGGGGTGCGGCTGGAAGAACGTCCGTGGAGCAGGGACGAAGGGCGTGGAGGGCGCGAACCAGCCAGGGGCTCCTCCTTCCTTCCCAGAGAAGCAGCGCGTGCGCAATCCACGCCTCCGCCAGGAGGAGGAGCGGAACCTATGGAGGTTGGAGGTGCAAGGGCTCAGTCAGCAGCCAGAGCCCTAGCACCGGCAGCAGTGAAGCGAAGCCTCCTAGAGGGAACAGGAAGTGTTACATCTGCGATGATCCACAGCATATGGCGAAAGAGTGTCCCCAGAGGCTCCACAAGCACACTGCAGCCTCAGCAATGGTAACTGCAGCAACGCAGCAAGGAGAACCACGGCAGGGAAACGACGGAGTCTGGCTGGAGAAAGAGGCACTGGGGCCCAGCCAGACGTGTCAGTGAAGCAGTCCCCAGAGATTTTACAGCCCATGGACCCCCTCCCGCCCAAACCAGTAGTGAGGCTCACCGCGTCGCTCCAGCTGCCCAATGGCATCACCATGGACGTGCCAATCACCATTGACTCCGGAAGCAATGCGGACTTTATAGGGCAGGACTTTGTCGACCGGCACGCTATACAGTTGCTGCCTGCCACGCTGCCCCTGCAGGTTGTCACGGTGGATGGCAGGGAGCTGCTAGGGGGGCAAGTGGTGAAGCAGACGCCACCAATGGTGATGAGACTTGGGAATCACAGGGAAATCATCAGCTTCAATGTCACTCAACTATCGGACACGCCCATTGTATTGGGCATGAGTTGGCTGGACAAGCACAGCCCGACGCTGGCTTGGTACCAGAGGCAGCTGACCTTCGGCTCTTCCTTTTGCGCTGAACACTGCATCGTGCCCCGGCAGGAAGGAGAGGAAGAGGAGTCACAGCTGCAGCTAGGCACGCTGCAAGCGGTTCCCCACAAGTACGCAGCATTTTTGGAGGTTTTCTGTGAGAAGGAGGCAGACAGGCTACCCCCCCACAGACCATATGACTGCAGAATTGACCTGCTGCCGGGCGGCGCTGCCCAAAGGGAGTTGTATTCCATGTCTGAGGACGAACTGCAGGAACTCAAAGAGTTCATAGATCATAATTTGGAGCGCGGTTTCATCCGAGAGTCCAAGGCAGCGGGGGCAGTCCGGTATTCTTTGTTAAGAAGCGGGACACGCCCCAGAAAGACTTGTAGTGGACTATCGCATTTTGAACAGCGTGACCAAGCCATCGGACTTCCCCATGCCCCGAATCGACGACCTCCTCGCAAAGGTACGGAAGGGCAGCGTGTTCACCAAGTTGGACCTGCGAGGGGCGTACAACCTCATTCGCATGCGGGAAGGAGATGAGTGGAAGACAGCCATGTTCACGCCCCTGGGCACCTACGAATATAGAGTTATGCCTTTTGGATTGCAAAATGGTTCCCACGTTTTTCATGCATCACGTGTTGGCGGGGCTCCTCTACAAGACGTGCGTCTGTTTCTTGGATGACATCCTGATCTTTTCGGAATCGCAGCAGGAGCATGACAGGCACGTCAAGGAAGTGCTGAGCAGGCTACAGCAACATAGGCTTTACGCCAAGCTGGAGAAGTGCCAATTCGACGTGACGGAGGTGGATTTCCTGGGCTACAAGTTGTCTGATAAAGGGCTCGCCATGGACAGCACCAAGGTCCGAGCAGTGTTGGATTGGAAAAGCCCACGCAACCGGAAGGAGGTCCAACGGTTTGTCGGCTTTGCGAACTTCTATCGCAAGTTTATCAAAGGCTTTGCCATGCAGACAGCGGCCATCACGGACACGCTCAGCTCCAAGAAAAGAAGTTCATCTGGACAGAGCAGGCGGAGCAGTCCTTTCAGGCACTCAAGCGTCTCTTCGCGTCGGAAGAGCAACTGCTTCATGTCAACCCCAGCAGGCCGATGAGGGTGGAGACAGACGCTTCGGACAGAGCCGTAGGAGCAGTCCTGCTGCAGAAGGACCCGCAGGGGGTTTGGAGGCCGGGAGCGTTTTACTCAAGGAAGCTCAGCAAGTCCGAACAGAACTACACCATCTGGGACAGGGAGTTGCTGGCCATTCATGCAGCGTTCAAAGCGTGGAGGCACTTCCTGATCGGCGCCAAGCACACGGTGCAGGTCTGCACGGACCACAAGAATCTAGAGCACTGGCGCACGGCACAGTTCCTGAACCAGAGGCAGATACGTTGGGCTGAGTTCTTTGCGAATTTCGACTTCCGAATAGAGTATGTCCCGGGGAACACCAACATCATGGCGGATGCTCTCTCCCGTAAGCCACAGTATTTGGAGGAGGCAACGCCAGCGGCCGCCATGCACATCTTCGCACCGACAGTGTGGGCGTGCACGGCGGCGACAGTTGACCTGGAGGCGGTGCGACGAGCGTTGCAGGATGACTCCTTCGCGCAAGCAAAGATGGCAGAGGCGCACAGGGGCACGGCAGCGACCGACGAGTTCCAGCTGCGAGATGGTTTGCTCATCCGTAAAGGGGCCATCTACGTGCCGGGAGACGAACTTCGCGCCAAGGTACTGCAGCAGCTGCACGACGCGCCCACTGCCGGGCACTTTGGCAAGGAGAAAACGGTGGAATTAGTAGCCAGAGACTTCTGGTGGCCAGGAATGAGAGGGGAAGTCGCGGACTACGTGGCGAGGTGTGACACCTGCCAGAGGGCCAAACCAGTGCACAGACCGCCGGCCGGACTGCTGGAACCGCTGCAAACTCCGTTCGAACCATGGGAGAGAGTGGCCCTGGACTTTGTCACGGATCTGCCCAGCTCGAGGGGCAAGACGGCTGTGCTGGTGGTGGTGGACTTGTTCTCCAAGATGGCACATTTCATTCCGTGTGCGAAGGTGGCCACGGCGGAACAAACCGCCAAACTGTTCATAGACCACGTGTTCAAGGTTCACGGTCTGCCGCGGTCTATTCTGTCCGACCGAGGGCGACAGTTCATCTCGAACTTCTGGCAGAGGCTGATGGGCTTCCTGAACGTCAAGATCAACCTGGCGTCGGCTAGACACCCACAGACCAATGGGCAAGCGGAGCGGAGTCAATGCCATCATGCAGCAGTACCTGAGATGTTATGCGAATCAACAGCCTGCGACGTGGGTGGATTACCTGCCTCTCGCCGAGTTCGCCTACAACAACACGAAGCACGTGTCCACGGGGGTCACGCCGTTCTTCGCCAACAACGGGAGGCACCCCAGAACCTTCCCGGGACTGGAAAGAATGGGGGAGGGGAGCCGCAGACAGCAGATGCATTCGCGTCGGAGTTGCAGGAGGTCCACGATCAGCTGCGGCGGCACCTGGAGCTGGCTAAACACGCATACAAGGTACAAGCGGACAAACACAGAAGGGTTGGCGAAGAGATCCATGTGGGAGACTGGGTCTGGTTAGCAGCCCACGCAGTGCCGGCCAGGTCGTTGGCGAAGAAGAAACTAGGGCATAAACAACTGGGGCCCTACCAAGTCGAAGAACAGGTCAACCCGGTGGCTTTCAGGCTGGCTCTTCCGGAGGGTTCCAGAATGCATCCGGTGTTCCACAGATCGGTGCTCACTCCCTACAAGGCACCTCACAGGTTTCAGGAACCAGGAACGGCACCGGGTCCGCTCCGAGAGAGAACCGGGCAGGGGGGAGTGGCACGGGAGGAGCGCATCAACGAAGTCACGGAGATTTTGGACTCCAGATGGGGGGAAGAGGGGGTAGAATACCTTCTCGCCAAGGAGGGCACCCCGGCCAGTGCCAACAGCTGGGTGCCGGGCTACGCTTTAGACGAACCTCTGCTCAAAGAAGAGTTTCATGCCCTCTTCCCACATAGGCCAATGCCAGCAGACTTTTCGACGACTGGCTTTTCACGCCCACGCTTTCAGCCAGCACGTTCCGGGGGTTCGACTCGGACGAGGAACCGACACGAGACGCCCGTTCCCCGGAGGGGTCACCCTCAGGATCTGCTTCAGAACCCTCGTATTGGTGGGATGATCGACCAGAGGAGCAGTTCCGTAGAAGGTGGCTGGAGGGTCCAGGACGAGCAACGTCTCCAGAAGGCAACGAGGGAGAGACGGACATGGACTTTTCGGGGACGACCCGGGTTTCGAGCACGGCGGCACAGAGATGGAAGCGGAGGTGACCGTCGTCAACGAGAGCAGGGAGGAAGAACCGGAAGACTTCAGATGGCGGCCCGCCACGGGAAGCGAACTGTATCCGACATTCGTCCCCTGACACGGCAGCACCCAGATCCCGCACCGGAAGGAGGGGAGGGGGGAAGAGGGGGCTTCGAGGGGGGGATGTCAGGGGTTCAGGAGCAGAGGCAAGGGCAAGGGAGGAAACAGAGAGCGAGGGGGAGGAGGCAGAAGAAAAGATGAGTGATGACGACGACCCGAGATCTCCGAGTCTTTCCAGTGAATCAGAAGATTCACAGAAAGGAGCACCAGTGGCCAGGGCAAGGGGGGAGCCTAGGGGGACACCCCAGGAAGATAGAGCCAGAGGGGACTCAGAGGGGAGCAGTTGGAAATCGGGACCAACGTCACCGCCAGAGAGCAGGGAAGAGGAAGGGCGCCAGGGATCAAGCGCTGGCAACTCACAACAGGGGGGAGGGCACGAGTCAGGAGTGGCCACACCCCCATCGGGGAGCGAAGAAACGGTCAGACGGAAGGTGGAAGGTTGGGCGCGCGCCAAGTTCAAATGCACAGGAAGGTGGCGCAGTAGGCAGCCCGGAAAGGGAGCCAGGTCCTAAAGCCCGCCGAAAGGAGGGAGAAGAGTCAGGGGAGTCAGCGTCAGCGTCAGAGGAATCCCGGAAGGAAGAGACCCCGGGGGGGCAGAGGGACCCAGAGAAGAACAGTCAGGCGGAAAAGGTGGAGCAGGGCTAGGATATTAAGTTGGTGTACAAGGGGCGGAGACTCAGACGGAGCTTCGCCGGTCTAAGCATGAGACGTAGAGTTGCACGCAGCAGCTTGAGAATGGAAACTGTAACTCAATAAAGACTTTTGTTTAATGATCGCTGGCTAGCGTGATCCTCTGTGAGCTAGGATCTGGAAGCAGCTCTGACAGTTACCCAGTGAACTTCATGGCTAAGGGGTGGGGGGAGTTGAACCTGTGTCTGCCTGGTCCTAGTCCACCACTGTAACCACTACACCACATTGGCTCCCAAACTGCATCCATCATAAATTGTACAAAGAGTGTCCTAGCATCAAAACCACGTTTTACTATATGTGTTTCCCTGTATTTGAACCTAAAGTCCATAGGTGAATTGGTTTTGTAGTGAGCCAAGGAGTGAAAACAGCACAGGTTTTGAATTGGAGGCCCCCACTTTGAATCTCATCTGAGCCATGAAGTGAGTGGCGTAAGGCTAGTTGCAATCTGTATCATGGGAATAATATAAGTGGCCTACAGAAGTCCTGAAGAAATTCAGAACAATTGGAATCCTTGTATTAAAAATCAATTTGCAGTCAAAATGCAGTAAATCTGGGTTTTCCCTAAAGCAAGCAGATAGTAAAGGAGTGGCTAAACAGTTGTTCTTTTTAAAAAGTAATTTATTATAAACAAGCATCATTCATACCTATACAAGAGAAGAAAGCACACAGAGAGAATATTCTCTGCACTTCTACTTGATAATTAGAATACTTCAAATTTTGTGCATTGCCAGAGCACTGCTTGAATTGTGTGCACTAAAAAAAAAATACTACCCGTAGCAGGAATGGCTCTACCATTAGATAGCATGAGGCGGCTGCCTCACTCAACCACTTCTGAGTGCCACCAAAGGTCAACCAAAGAATATCATCCTTCCATTTGCCCATTCCTGTTTAGAGATAGGCTGACAATTAAGTTTGTGTGATGATGCCATATCATTTTCTGAGAAAATTAAATTCCCACAATGCAATGTGCTGGCAAATCTAATGCAGCAATAATAGGGTGACACAGAGCAATTACTTTGTCGTTTTCATTGACGTTGCTTATATAAAGGGAGTGCTAGTTTCGCCTGCTGAGTCGGAGGATGATCTCATAGGGGAAACAGTCAGGGGGTGCTCAGGGGGCAGAGTAAAGCAACAACAGCAACAACAACCTTCGTTCAGCCCAAGGCCAGTGCTTCATGGAGGACTAATCATCTCTAATGTGCTGGCAAGTGAAGAGTAGACCAAAGGAACCCTCATTTTGTAAAAGTGTCAGGTCAAAGCAGTGAAAATGTCCAAGTGTACAGAAAGCCAGAAATCTGTTCTGCTTTGACAGCCACTATCCAGAGGACTCTAATCACCTTAAGTGACTCAAAAATGGAACACAAATTAGATGCAACCTGGGAGGTTCACATTCAAGATAGTAAGTGCAGCTTGTTTCTGCTACACAATACTTTTGCTTGGTTATCTGCAGAGTAGGTATTTTAATTTGCATGATTAACTAGAGTATGAAAGCAAAGGATACCAGCTTAATCTGCAATGTCTGGAGGTCACAGTGAGACCAAAGAGATGAGTATGCACATTATGGGTGATGATGACTCCTTCCGAAGGTTCAGATAATCATTACTGGAACTATTGTTCCAGCTCAGCAAAACCAAATAATATCAAGCAACAAATATCTGGAAGAATAAAGACATCTTTACCTGACACAGAAAATTTGTTAGCATTGGTACCAGATGAGCCTCACTTGTGGGAGAATTCCATAAACAGAGGGCAACAGCTAAAAATGATCTTTTATCACCCCCCACACCCACTGAATAACTCTCAAAGCCTCCAGTGATGACCTCAGGGTCCAGGTAGGCTCATGTCAAAAGAGGAAAGAATGTAAAGCCCTATGTGTCTTTATAGGTTAATACCAGTCGTTTGAACTGGACTCTGAAATGACTTTTGTCCATCCCAAACCCAAAAACCCTGAAATAGAGGTCTACCATAGATGCACTACACTCCTATGTTTAATGGCTGGAACGTTGAGATGATGAGTGACCAGTACTCTAAACACACTGTGCCCAAGGAAGGTTATTAACATCCTTTGCAAGCATCATTTGGGAGGCAGGAGAAGCGAGTGGCAATGCTCCAGTAGGAACGCATCAGGGCTAATGAGGAGAGATGCAGGCAGTGCCAAAATCCCCAGGAATTGAGATGTTTAAACTTTGATCATGAGGCTACAGAAAATAAATCTGCAACATGGAGTGTCAGCCCGGTACACAGGGTAACAAACAATATCCCATTCCAATTAGAGAAATACAGCAGTGAGAGGACATAACATTTGTCTCATGCACAAAGATTGCTTGCATCTGACAAGGACTGGCATCTGTTAGGATTTGGGACCCATGCCCTCCCTTGCTCAGAACCTTACTTGTGAAAATTTGCTCTCAGTAAGGATATACCTAGGCTTTTGCAAGGGGAGAAGGTCAGACACTCAGAGTAGACCCATTAAAATGAATGAGCATGAGTAACAGGCATTTTAATTTCAGTGAATCTACTCGGAGCACAACTTAGTTGGATACAACCCCACAGATTTTCAGAAGTATATCTGTACTTTGAAAAACCCTTTATATTTACTCTGTTTAAAAAGTGTAAGCTTGACTTTGTGCAAGCGGTGCTTTCATGTCCTGAAAAAAAGTAGAGTCCACATTTTCATAACATGGCAAAGTAGTAGTAAATTCTGCCTGTAGGTTCTGCTTGTTAGACCACAGCTGCTTCTGTAAAGCCAGAACATTATATTTGCCCTTGTGGTCTCTTTCTGTCTTAAATGGAGTGGAACTAAACCTCTTCTCTCTGCTGCTTAGTTTGTGTCCCACTTGTAGTTGTTTGGGGTCAAAGGTTTACAAGCAAATGGACAGAATGATGGTGGAGGGTTCATACTGGGCACTCAAGGGAGACTGCATAAAATGACCAAAAATTGTGGTAGTAAGGCAATGAGTGGTTTTACAGTGCTTGTAGAGAATGAGAAGAAATATTATGTGGAAACATTTTTCAGCTGGTGCATTTTTCAGCACTAGAGTGGATAACGTACACATCTACAGTTCAGCTCAAAGTAAGCAGCGGCACTTAAACCACTTATTCATGTGCTGGATTGTGGCCAGGGAACTTCCATGCCTCATAGGTTTCTGTCAGCTTAGATACCCATCGATACTTTCATACACTATGCATCCAGAACACAAAGGCACACCGCAGAGGAGTACCATCACAACATCTTCATAAATGAAGAAGACCATTTCTTAAATGATTAGGAAACAGAGTAGGTGCCTCATAAAAGAGTAATAAGAAACATTATTTCCGATATGGCGGGAAAGGAGATGCAGTAAGGAGCAATTTCCCCAGCAGAGGTTGCTCTATTAAGGAGAACAGGGCATTGCCCCATCAATCCCAGTCTGCCCTCAGTGTCAGGGACTGGCTGGATAATGGGGAGTGGTAGGAGGCTCCAGCTGGAGAACCCCATACAGAAACCTCAGAAGACGAAGGCAAAGAGCCAAGGCAGTGGTGGCTCCACCTACTGATGGCCTTCCTGCTTTTCGTCCTACCAGTCCCACTGGTCACCAGTCACAACTGATTATTGTGGCAATTCAGACTAACGTGGCCTGAGCTTTCACGAGTTAAAGCCCACTTCACAAAATGGAATGGAACACAAAATATTTCTAATGGAAATAACTATTTGAATCCTCAGGATAGCCAAGCAAAGTGCTTCAAAACAAAACAAAATTACCTGAACACACACACACAAAACAAGAGCTGGTTTTCCAGTTTAAGAGATTACCTGAAAATTGTGTTAAGATTTGGGGAAAATAATAATAATTGAGGTTGGACATTTGTCACTGCCTCACGTACAGAAGTAATTTCACCCATGGAAGCGAGAAAGAGAATTTATTTCAACAAATCTCAGCGGAGCCGTTGCCATGGAGCTTCTGAAGATCAGACACTCGTATGAGGCGCACTTTTGCTAAATGAGCAGCCTGCCTCTTCACAACAATCACATCCCTAAGTGTCTTTGAAGTTTCAGCAAGCCGAGTCACCTGACTGAATTCACGCAACAGATTTATTCCCTCCTGAAGCCAAGCTGTTAGTAAGCATAAATTCCATTGTGCTTCAAGCTTGGAGATTCACAGCTAGGGATAACGCAATCCCGCTGTCAATCCTTTTAATGCGTTTGAAATTTTCCAAAACAGAACTTGTTATTTTTGTCTGCATGTGGGACAAAGGACCAGGAGAGGTGACTGCCAGTGACATGAGGGTTTTCATCCATGTTGGATCACACCCAGAACTTCATTGCTATGCAAGAACTCTGGTCCAGAAGACGTGAAGCAATAGGAAAGAAGATGGTGTTTCTGAGCATGTGCAAAATGCTTCCCCCTCACCACAAGAAGTCAATGCATGGTACTCATAGAGCAGGTGGGGGTGGAACATGTATCCCTCCCAGTGTTGCTGCACTTCAGTTCCCATCATCCCTGACCACTAGTGATGCCGACTGGGGCTGATGAAGTTGGTGTCCAACAACATCTAGGGAACCACAGGTTCTTCATCCTTGTCATATAGGAAAGCTAGAGCAGCTTCCACATCCGAGGCCATGATTTCTAGATACAACCCACCCAGTAGTGTAGCTATCTTTTGAAGATGACAGATTTAAAGGCAGGTATCTACCTGCTCAGGGGATTAGAAATCCCCTCCATGGTTGTCATCTGCATAACTTTAGACAGCAGAGACACCAGGAGGAGGCCTCCAGCAATGATCTGAAGAATTTAACCAGCAAGCTTTATTGCACTACAGTCACTTTCTTGACACCTACCAGTGTTATGAGCAGAAAGAGTAAATGCACTTACAGTAATACAAATCCTTCATGTACTGTGCAGGGGCCCTGGCTACATTCAGTGACTTGTCTCTTGCAATTTATCAGTGGAGTTAACTAGTAAAACTGCTTGTCAGGAGTTTCAAGATAAGACCAGCACAAAAATAACTCAGGGGCAGATCCTCTTCTCTTCGCTATGAATAATGTTATTCTTTCTTTTCCTCAAATATTTATGACCCTCTTTCTTTGAATTTCAAAGTGACTTGCAGCATAGAAGCAGTAAAATCCTTCATTTAAAAAATGATACAAATAAAACCCACTTCTAAAAGCGGAAACAAATAAATGCTCGAACAGCTTGGAGCTAAAATAAAGAAGTTTATTAAATTGTGGGAGAAGAGAGACTCTTTTTGCTATCAGGGGATGACTGTTTCTGTCTGTGCCTTACCCTCCAGCCCTGAGGAAGCTGCTTGCAGAAGAATTCTTAGGGAACTTTCCAGCTTTTGAGGTTAAGTCATAAAAGATTGTGTCTATGTGTGTGTGGTTATCAGCTTTTGGAGATACTTTTGGATGTAAGGTAATTGAAAACTGGTGATCTTTAGGCCCACTTAAATTTTGGTATATGTTAAATGAACTGTTAATGGTTTATTTTGTAGGTTTTCTGTAGTGCTATTATACTTTTTCTAACATACTGTTATTGTGGCTACTGTATTTAGACTTTTTTATGTTGAACCGCTTTGAGCACAATTGTTTCTGTAGGAAATGATGTATATAAGTAAACCGAATACGGTATGCCAAAATGGCGAGAGGAGTGGGGAGCACGGCACTCCTGCATGGAAGACTGACTTATTGTGGCTACTAGCTACAGTGAATAACAGCATAAAGACTTGGTTCAAAGATAGTATATTTCTGAATACCATTTGCTTGGCTGTCACAAAAGTGGGTGGTTTTCACTTTCTTGCCCTGCATCTTCCTGAAGCACTTGCAAGCCTAAAAGAGGCAAACAGGATGCTGGCCCAGCATAGAAATTCATACTGCAGCTTCCCAACATCTGTGAAAAATGCCAAGCTTATCAACAAAATGAAGCAAAATAAGCGGGAGCTTAAGGGCAAATCTAAAATGCAGCTCCTTGAATTTATTATTCCAGAGGCAGAATCGAAGACTTTGAAAATCCCTCAACAAAAGCTCTTTGATCTTGCTCCATTTCGGCTTCTGCTTCTTACTCTCTTCCTGTCCTTGCTTGTGATCTGAAAAGTCTCCTGGATGCCCAGTAGACACGGAAGCTCAGGCAATTATCCACAAAGTTCTTGAAACTATGGCGCTTTGTATAGAACATCGAGCAGTTTAAGTTAGACCTGGGTGTTTGTTCCCAGTCCCAGTTTAATAAAAGTGAATTTGCTAGTTTATTTTATGCATCCTTGTTATGTACTGAGTTGAATAGGATCCAAAATGCAGCAGTCTGATTGGTCCTAGAACAATGCAGCAGTATGATTGGTCCGCAGGAGCCACCCAATCCAGCTGCAGGTGGAAGTGAATCCACAACCTGACTGGCCTACAGGAGAATCCCGGAATTAGCCAGTCGCGTGCAGCCCATTGTGTAAATAATGTACAGTATATAAAGCAGACCTTCTGGGGAACTTCCATTTCCTCCTCACCACTATGAGCTGAATAAAGAGCATGAAATCCACTCTCCACTCCGAGTATATTTCAATCCTCTTCACTGAAACGATAGCTGCACAGCACTCGGTATCTGTTTCATGCTGTTTAAACATCGAACAGGTGATGTCATTAAGAAAAGAAAGGAAAAAGATAGTGGGAGCTATAGCTTAATAATTGTATTGAGGCATAGTGACGTAACTGCCCTGGTTTCTTTAAAGGATAACCTAGCCACCATACTTGCCACTCCCCTCACCCTAAAGAGGAACCCTGCTGCAGGCTTATGTTAAGAGCCCTGCCAAAGGAGAGCTGTATATAGCCCTGTAAATAAATTAGTTCAAGCTGCCAACATATGTGTGGAGTCTGAATTCAATAGGCAAGCTTTAACAGGTGAGCTTTAGTGAGGTTCTGAGAATTTTGTTAAATGCCCTGCCCCTGAAACAATTTGAAAGAGACACTAGATGCAGCCTGAGTGCATTGCACATCCTGGGAGGAACCAGGAATTATTTAAGAATGCTAGTGACTTCCTCTGACTAGAGGAGATAGCAGTCACAGAGGGAGAGAGTCCTAAATAAAACTTAAAGATGGTTTAGAATGCAGAGTTTGTTTGACGCTGTAATCCCACAGTCTTGAAACAGCCCCTGACAATTCCCAGGGTTGGGAACAGACGATCAAGCCAGCTTGCATCTGAACTTGGAATGTCTGCACTGGAAATTCCTTAATGTCAATGGGAGACACCGGAAATACATGTCTGGCACATGGTCCACATTGTTTGAAATGATAAATTTTCACACATAGAGGGATTATATTACCTTGGCGAAGCCATCAAATCCATAATTGATATGCAATATCCCATCCATTTACTCATCTCATTCTATCCTGCCCTTCCTCCAAGGAGCTTAAAATGTCATGCAAAGTGTGTGCTCCACCCCACAGCTACCCTGTGGAGTAGCTTAGTCTGGGTCTGGTCCAGTGAGCTGCATGGCTGAGGGATGTTTCAAACACAGGTCTCCCTCATACAAGGCCAACCCTTGAGCTCTTATGTCTCATTGTCTCCCAATGTGCGGAAGGAGGGAGCCAAACGGGCAGAGCTTTTGCGGAAGCTGCATACCCTTTTGTGCAAGAGCTTCTCTTCTAGTGTGTGTGTTTCTTTGTGGCTGATTAGCTGCTCTCCCTGTGCAAAGGTCAGAGGGGGCAGGGTTTCTGTTGAGTCAGGTGATTAGCTGTGGGAGGAGCTTATCAGAGTTTGCAGGGGAGCAGCGCGCGCCTGGCGGCGCGCACAGTTTGATCCATCTTTTAGATTTAGGGGAGCTAGTCTCAAACGTTTGTTGGGGGAGACCTAGGTTTTTTTGGGGGGGGTTATTTGTCCTGTCTTCACGCTTTTTAACATGGAGGACCACTGTAGCCACCCCCAACGACACGTTCTCAAGATGGAGGGTGAGGGAACAGCTGCAGACGCCTGCGGTTCCTGCGCAATGTTTGCCATCTTGCCAAAGATTGCAGGCAGCTTTACCTGCAGCAATTGTATGTTGATTGCCCTCTTAGAAGACAAAGTCCAGCAACTGGAGGAACGTGTAGCTACGCTCCAAAGAATTAGAGAGCTGGAGCTCTTCTTGGAAGCAACAGAGAACACCGTCTCCACCAAGGAGGAGACAGGGGACTCCCCTGAGAAGGAGGCTAGTTCACCAACACAGGTACCAGATATATGGAGAAACGTGACTCAAAGAAGTAGGAGGCCCAGGGTTCGCTCTGATTGTTTAGAAACACACAATCACTTTGAAGTCCTCTCCCCTAGCATGGAAGACGAAGAACAGACTCCATTTGAGGATTTCTCCCTCATTACAGTCGATCAGGTATATGAAGACGAGCAGCAAAGTCAGTCCTCAGGGAATGTGCAGGCGACCTTGGAACGGACAGCTCACGGAAGAACCCCGACCAAACCTAAGAGGAGGCATGTAGTGGTGATAGGGGATTCCCTACTGAGGGGAACAGAAGCAGTGATCTGTGGGCCTGACAAGATGTTTCGGGAGGTGTGCTGTCTCCCCGGGGCTAAGATCCAAGATGTAACTGAACGACTGCAAGGAATCATAAAACCCACTGACAATTACCCCTTCCTCTTGGTTCATGTGGGAACCAATGACACTGCAAGCAATAGCCTCCAGAAGATCAAAAGAGACTACAAGACTCTGGGGAGGAAATTGAAGCAATTAAATGCACAAATTGTCATCTCATCTGTCCTCCCAGTTGAACGACTTGGCCCAGGGAGAGAGGGAAAAATAGTGGAAGTGAACAGCTGGCTTCGCAAATGGTGTAAACAGGAACGGTTTGGATTCTTAGATCACGGACTGCAGTTTCTTGAAGATGGACTTCTGGCAAGCGATGGGCTGCACCTCACAATGGTTGGGAGAAATGTTTTTGCCAAAATCTCAGAAACCTCAACACGAGGGCTTTAACCTGACTAATGTGGGGGAGGGAGACACTGCTCCTGAAGGTAGGAGTCTATCAACTGATGAAGATGATCATCCAAATTTCATAGACCAAATGGAGCAAACAGCACGCAGACCTAGTGGTGGGAGGAAAAAATCCTTAAATAAGAGACACGGGGGAATGATTAATGGACTTCAATGTCTGTACACTAATGCGCAAAGCATGGGAAATAAACAAGATGAGCTTGAGCTCTTGGTACAGCAAACTAAATATGACATAATAGGCATCACTGAAACCTGGTGGGATAAGTCCCACGATTGGAATGTAATAATGGAGGGATACAATCTATTTCAGAGAAACAGACCAGACAAGAAAGGAGGAGGAGTGGTGTTATATGTCAGGGATGTGTATACCTGTGAAGAGATCCAAGATTTAGAACCTCGAAGCCAAAGTGAGAGCATTTGGGTCAAAATTAAGGGAGAGAAGAATAACAGAGACCTCATTGTGGGAGTTTACTATAGATCCCCAAGCCAAATGGAGGACATAGATGATGCCTTCCTGGAACAGATGGCCAAGCATGCAAAAGGAAGGGAGATAGTAGTAATGGGGGACTTCAATTACCCGGATATTTGTTGGATGTCAAACTCAGCCAAGAGCATAAGGTCAAACAGATTCCTCACTGGCCTTGCAGACAACTTCATTGTCCAGAAAGTGGGAGAAGCAACAAGAGGAACAGCCATTTTAGATCTGGTCCTAACCAATGTTGATGACCTGGTCGGTGGGGTAGAAGTGGAAGAATCATTAGGCGCGAGTGATCATGCTCTTCTGAAGTTTACTATACAGCGGAAAGGAGCAGCCAAGCATACTAGGACTCAATTTCTTGACTTTAAGAAAGCCGACTTCATAAAACTTAGGGAAGTGCTGGGTGAGATCCCATGGACAGTAATACTAAAAGGAAAGGGAGTTCATGATGGCTGGGAGTTTGTTAAGAGGGAGATAGTAAAAGCACAACTTCAGGCAATACCAATGAGACGGAAACATGGAAGGTGCCTAAAGAAGCCAGGGTGGCTATCTAAAGAACTTTTAACTGAGTTAAGATTTAAAAAGGATGTGTACAAAAAATGGAAAAGGGGAAACCACCAAAGAGGAATTCAAACAAATAGCCAGCACGTGTAGACACAAAGTCAGAAAAGCTAAAGCACAGAATGAACTCAGGCTTGCTAGAGAGGTTAAAAGCAACAAAAAGGCTTTTATGGGTATGTCCGTAGCAAAGGAAGAACAAAGAAACAGTGGGGTCACTCAGAGGAGAAGATGGTGAAATGCAAACAGGGGACACAGAAAGGGCTGAACTCCTCAATGCCTTCTTTGCCTCAGTCTTCTCCGATAAAGAAAACAATGCCCGACCTGAAGAATTTGGAGCAAATGATTCAGCAGAGGAAACACAGCCCAGAATAACTAAGGAGATAGTACAAGAATACTTGGCTAGTTTAGATGTATTCAAGTCTCCAGGGCCAGATGAACTGCATCCAAGAGTATTAAAAGAACTGGCAGATGTGATCTCAGAACCACTGGCAGGCATCTTTGAGAATTCCTGGAGAACAGGCGAAGTCCCGGCAGACTGGAGGAGGGCAAATGTTGTCCCTATTTTCAAAAAGAGGAAAAGAGGGGACCCAAATAATTACCGCCCAGTCAGTCTGACATCAATACCAGGGAAGATTCTGGAGCAGATCATTAAGCAAACAGTCTGTGAGCACCTAGAAAGGAATGCTGTGATCACCAATAGTCAGCATGGATTTCTGAAAAATAAGTCATGTCAGACTAACCTGATCTCGTTTTTTGACAGAATTACAAGCCTGGTAGATGAAGGGAACACAGTGGATGTAGCCTACCTTGATTTCAGCAAGGCATTCGACAAGGTGCCCCATGATATTCTTGTAAAGAAGCTGGTAAAATGCGGTCTTGACTATGCTACCACTCAGTGGATTTGTAACTGGCTGACTGACCGAACCCAAAGGGTGCTCATCAATGGTTCCTCTTCATCCTGGAGAAGAGTGACTAGTGGGGTGCCACAGGGTTCTGTCTTGGGCCCGGTCTTATTCAACATCTTTATCAACGACTTGGATGATGGACTCAAGGGCATCCTGATCAAATTTGCAGATGACACCAAACTGGGAGGGGTGGCTAACACCCCAGAGGACAGGATCACACTTCAAAATGACCTTGACAGATTAGAGAACTGGGCCAAAACAAACAAGATGAACTTTAACAGGGAGAAATGTAAAGTATTAAAAGGTAAAGGTAAAGGTACCCCTGCCCGTACGGGCCAGTCTTGACAGACTCTAGGATTGTGCGCCCATCTCACTTAAGAGGCCGGGGGCCAGCGCTGTCCGGAGACACTTCCGGGTCACGTGGCCAGCGTGACAAAGCCGCATCTGGCAAGCCAGCGCAGCACACGGAAACGCCGTTTACCTTCCCGCCAGTAAGCGGTCCCTATTTATCTACTTGCACCCAGAGGTGCTTTCGAACTGCTAGGTTGGCAGGCACTGGGACCGAGCAACGGGAGCGCACCCTGCCGCGGGGATTCAAACCACCGACCTTTTGATCGGCAAGCCCTAGGCACTGAGGCTTTTACCCACAGCGCCACCCGCGTCCCCACATGTAAAGTATTGCACTTGGGCAAAAAAAAATGAGAGGCACAAATACAAGATGGCTTGAGAGCAGTACATGTGAAAAGGATCTAGGAGTCTTGGTTGACCACAAACTTGACATGAGCCAACAGTGTGACGCGGTAGCTAAAAAAGCCAATGCAATTCTGGGCTGCATCAATAGGAGTATAGCATCTAGATCAAGGGAAGTAATAGTGCCACTGTATTCTGCTCTGGTCAGACCTCACCTGGAGTACTGTGTCCAGTTCTGGGCACCACAGTTCAAGAAGGACACTGACAAACTGGAACGTGTCCAGAGGAGGGCAACCAAAATGGTCAAAGGCCTGGAAACGATGCCTTATGAGGACTGGCTAAGGAGCTGGGCATGTTTAGCCTGGAGAAGAGGAGGTTAAGGGGTGATATGATAGCCATGTTCAAATATATAAAAGGATGTCATATAGAGGAGGGAGAAAGGTTGTTTTCTGCTGCTCCAGAGAAGCGGACATGGAGCAATGGATCCAAACTACAAGAAAGAAGATTCCACCTAAACATTAGGAAGAACTTCCTGACAGTAAGAGCTGTTCGACAGTGGAATTTGCTGCCAAGGAGTGTGGTGGAGTCTCCTTCTTTGGAGGTCTTTAAGCAGAGGCTTGACAACCGTATGTCAGGAGTGCTCTGATGGTGTTTCCTGCTTGGCAGGGGGTTGGACTCGATGGCTGCCAAGGAATGTGGTGGAGTCTCCTTCTTTGGAGGTCTTTAAGCAGAGGCTTGACAACTGTATGTCAGGAGTGCTCTGATGGTGTTTCCTGCTTGGCACGGGGTTGGACTCGATGGCCCTTGTGGTCTATTCCAACTCTATGATTCTCTGATTCTCTGATTCTCTTCATCCCATGGGATCATTTGGTAATCCCCACACGGTCTCTCTCCTAACTGCCTGGCTCTCACAGCACCTTTGAGTTCTCATCTCTGCAACTCCAGCTGTTCAGCCATAAACATAAGCATGGAGACATTTAATAAATGGGGAAATCCTTGGAGCTGTGTTGGGTGGAAGCCTGCAAATTCCTTTGAGAGTTGCAAGGGGCAGGAAGAGAGGAAGGAGCCTGGTTGTGAAAGCTCAAGGCAAAGTATCTGCTCTGCTGTTGGCTGCTATTTCTGGCTTTGCCTTGGAATCTCCTGTGAGATTGGAGGCTTCACAGAGAGGGGACCCAGTGTGGAAACATCAGCTCAGATCTGTGCCTTGACCATGTAGAGATAAAGAGGCTTGGGGTTAATTCACACACAACTCCCCTCCCTGATTCAGTACATGTAGATGTTCTGTTCCTGGTCTTACTCAATATATATAGAAGTTGCACATTGCAAAATGGTGACAATTTATCAGCTTTATTTTCCTTTTACACATTACATTTAGCTGCATTGATGATGGTGTTATGAGTTTGTGGGTGCCAGATTCCTATAAGCCCTAGATCCAGCAAGTGTTCCCAACTTCCTCTGGTTGAAGGGCTTGAGACTGCTCAGGAGGCCTACCAAGCCCTTGAGAGGGTGCACCACAGAACCACGGCTGGTGCAAAGATCCACACCACCAGACGCTTATTTGAGATGAAGCTGCGTCCCGGTGGGAACATCAGACAGCATGTTACTGAGATGCTTTCTGTTTTCAATGAGTTGCGCCTGTTACAGGTCAACTTTTCAGAAGAGCTGAAGGTTTATATTTTGCTCAGCTCTCTGGACAAAAGTTATGACAATTTGTGTCTGTCTATGGAATCGATGAGTCCACAGGATTTGACGCTATCGTACGTGACAGGGCGTCTTTCGGACGAACAGGAGAGGCGTGTCCGAGAAGGCAGGTCTGGCGCAGGCAGCTCCACCGGTTGCAGAGGTGGGGGCAAGCCAGATGAGAGCTGTGTTCAGGCTTTTCCACTCGTCGATGTTATGTCTGTGGATCCAACAGCCACCTAAAGCGGGCTTGTCCGCAGAAGAGCAGAGAGGCCGGGCAGGATGTCTCCAAGGTCAACCAGCTGAGTTCTCATGGGAACCAGTCTCGGAAAGGAGGCCAGCGTGGGAACGCGAAGGAGGGACGTGACTCAGAGAAGGGAGACTGTTATCATCTCGCGGCTTCTCTGGCAACTTTGAACAACAATGCCAGCAGGGACACAACTATGAAGTGGGTGCTGGACTCAGGAGCGAGTCATCACCTGATAACGCCATCTGCTGGGGAGCTGCAGAATTGCAGGGCTGTTTTAACTGGAATGACTTGTAAATTTGCTGACGGGAAAAAACGAAATGTATCTAAAGCGGCAAATGTCTATAATTCTGTTTTGCAGGCTGAGCTGGAGTGCTTCATTGTACCAGGGATGAAGTGTTGCCTGTTATCGGTTTCTGCTCTGGCGAAGCAGGGATACAAAATTTGTTTTGAAAATAACACCTGTTCCATTTTCAGAGGGGAGGCAACTTGTCAACGTGGAGAGCAAGGACAATCTCTTTGTTCTGGAAACACCTCTGGAGGGTGGTGGGAATGCAGGGAAAGCACAGGCGCAGTGTGCTAGTGTTCCCAGCCATGATTCATGTGTTCATGTATGGCACAAGAGAATGTCTCATGCTTGTCTGGAGGATGTTAAGAGGCTGCCAGGCTGCACCGAAGGATGTAAAATCACACCATGTGAGAGATCCCTAGTGTGCAGGGCATGCAGCAAGGTTCAAAGGTGCAGGTTTCCAGGGTAAAGAGGGTAACCACAAAACCTTTTGAGTTGATTCACACAGATCTGTCAGGACCCATGAGGTGTGAGAGTCTGGGTGGGGCCAAGTATGTGCTATCGCTGACAGATGACCACAGCCAGGTTGGCTGGTGTTTCTCTCTCAAATCACAGGGGGAGGCGGCGCAACTGATCCAGGATTGGGTTGCGGAGGTGGAACGAAGGTTTTCCACCAGGGTGCAAGGGTTCAAGAGCGACCGAGGGTCACAGTTTACTGGGTCTGCTCTGGAGGAGTTTTCAAGGAAAAGGAATACGTCACCACGTGACGAGTGCAAAGTCTCCTCAAGGGAGAGGCGTGGCACAGCACAGGAGTGAAACACTGGCTGAAGCTGTCAGAGTTTTGCTGGGTGACTCTGGGCTGCCTCAGAGCTTTTGGAGTGAAGCTTGGAAAGCTGCCAACTTTGTTTTTAACAGGTCCTACAATCACGATGTAGGTGACACACCGTATTTTCTGTTGCACAAGAGGAAGCCACAGGTGCATTTCTTCCGTTCGTTTGGTTCCAAGGCTTCAGTGCCAATACCAACAGCGCAACGGAAGAAGGATGGTCCTAGGTACCAGGACATGATCTTCTGTGGGTATGATCCTGCAACAAATGGGTGGAAGTTTGCATACCCAGAGGGTGATCAGACCACGCTGCTGGTCAGCAAGCATGCTGAGTTCTTTGAGCAGGATGGTTGGTCACAGCCTAGGTATGGTTCTGATTTTCTCTCAGACTGCTTGTCCGATTCTGAGGGGAGGAAAAGGAGGAAGAAAGGAGGAAGGAGAGGCAGAGGCGGAGCCTGTTGCTGAAGACCAGGTTGCTGATGATGGTCAAGCACAGGGGTGGGTTTCTCCACAGGTTAAGAGGGAACCCAAGAGTGAGCCTTCATCTCCTGTTAGCCAAGTGCAGGAAGCCCGAAGACGCAGCAAGTCAGAGGGGGAGTCTTCTGAGCTTGCTGGAGACACACTTGCTGACCCCAGTGGGTCACAAGGAGCGCCTGAGGTTGTGCTCCGGCGGTCAACTCGGACCACAAAGGGGATTCCACCGGAGAGGTTTCAGGTCACCAGTGCGTGGGTTGGTTTCGCACAGTGTGATTCTGGGAGTGTGGAAGGGATTCAACAATTGCCTGGGATGGATGCCAGTGGGAGGCAAAAGGCAATGGGAGGTGAGTTGAACTCAAAGAGGTCTGTAAATAGGGGTTCACAGTTTCCCCTCAGGATCTCGTGACGAGAGGGGTGTGAATGGTTTCAGAACTCACAGAGTTAAAGAGTTCTGGTGACGTCTCTTTCCTGAGGCGTGGTTAGAAACACTTAAGGGAGGGTTTGACTCCGTGTGTTTCAGTCTGACTTTCGGACGTGATGCGAAAGGGAGAATGTGTCAGTTCTCGCCAGGTCTGAATTTATGATGTTATTCTTCATGATTAAAAGGCAAGAGTAGATAAGGACTGCCTTGTGTCTGGACTGATTTATTCCACACGTGCTGCACTCTGCTTCTCACCGCTGTGTTTCGCTCTGCTACCGGCAAGAGAAAGAGGCCTGAGGAGGATTTTTGCAGGAGGCACGGATAGCTTGCAGAGTTCCGCAACGGAAGCGTGCCGGGCTCCATGTTCAGTCTCTGTGTACCCTCTTGTCCGGTGTAAATAATTCCAACAGAATTGAATCAAGGCTTGGGGTGCTAAACTGTGTGCCAGACGCTTCTAATCCAGCAAGTGTTAAAAACTAATTAAGCTTGATTGAGGTTGGTGGGGCAGTGTATCATCTACCCTTATGGACCATCCCCACTGCTTTAGGCCCCTTCACTAAGGACCTGCCTGCTCCCAGGGCTCCAGAGGGGCATGTTCCTATCCACACAGAGGTTTTGTGATAACCATAGTATCTAACATCATCCAAAAATGACAGTTTAGCTGTGAAGTCTTGCAACCATGTGTGTGTGGCTATAATACCAGTATGCACACGGGCACATAAAAGAACACGTTTAGGTTAACATGAGCAAGCTATTACCTATATAAATGCAATCCTTCCCACACTAATGATAAATTAATCCCCTATTTCCATAATATTTTGTTGGCAGTAGTCTCATATATACTAAGCACTTTTGGTGTGTCAAGTTCATATCCAAAGTTGCTCCAGGTGCAAATTTGATTGGATATGATATACTTTCATCATTCCTCCACAATGAATACAAATGCATCCTTCCAGAACATAAGCAGTGGCTCACTATGAAACGTGCATAGCTGCTAAAGTTGAAACTACACATTATGACAGTCACTATGGCTTCCTGATCCTGTTTTAGCCGTATGAAGGGAATGCCAAGTGTGTGGGGGGAATTACATGGATTAGAGCTCATATGAGGAAGTGGTTCTAGTCTGCAACAGCTGATGCCACAATAAAATCTACTTGTCTTCAGAGTTTTACAAGATTCATTTTTGTGATAGGCATCAAAGATGTATTTTATATGCACAAAGTATCTATTAACTAGGGACAACCAGGAATGTGATTTACCTGATTTATCTGTTGGATTGTTATCCTGCCTTTCATGAGCTGAGGGCCAAACTATATTATATAGTAAATGCAATATGCCTGATTCTTGTTATATAAATAGCAACTGGGGGATATTTTACTGTCAGGAAATTTCTTTTCATGTTTAGTCCAAATCTGCTTCCCTGCAATTTCTGCTCCTGCCCTCTGGAGCAGGGCAGAGCAAGTCTGCTCCATCTTCTGCATGACAGCCCTTTAGATGTTTGAAGACCATACAGCTGTATGGGCAAACCATCAGGACAGATAGTTTGTTCTATGCTGCAAAAGCTGGGGCTTGGAATGTATAGGGTTTGTCCACACTGGAGTTTACTGTACGTTTGTAGCTGTTCGCATTCCCATTTGGTTTGTGTAATCCGCATGACCAGGGGTCAGCAAACTTTTTCAGCAGGGGGCCAGTCCACTGTCCCTCAGACCTTGTGGGGGCCGGACTATATTTTGGAAAAATGGAATGAACGAATTCCTATGCCCCACAAATAACCCAGAGATGCATTTTAAATAAAAGCACACATTCTACTCATGTAAAAACACACTGATTCCCAGACCATCTGTGAGCCAGATTTAGAAGGCGATTGGGCCGGATTCGGCCCCCGGGCCTTAGTTTGCCTACCCATGCGCATGACATTACTGCCAAACAATACCAATCTCAATGCTTTCTCACTGTAAATTCTGGTTTATCCTATAGTTATTGCTAATCTGGTAAATTGGGCTCCAGACTGCTCAGTGTCACAGACCATTTGTTTTGGTGTTTTGGAGTGGGTGCATCAATTGTCACTTTCTGCTACTCCCCTTTCCATGCCCACTACTTCCTCAATGTTTTCTTTTCTCGCTGTGCTTTTAACTATTTCTGGTGTGATCCTGAATGAAGGGATATTTCTCTCCCCTCCCCCCTCCCCACTTTGATCCCTCAGATTTGCACAAAATCAGAACACAAGCAAATTTACAACTGCATGACAGTGTGCTTTTGCACACTTATTGGGTAGCTTAAAAAACAACAACCCAACAAGGTTCAAGTGCAGCTATCTGCACGTTTGCCATATCTGTACTTAATCGGCATAAAAGGATCAACAAATTAGAAGATAGGGACAGACACAAAAGGGATTGCCTGGTGGGATGAATGGAAAAGACTGAAGTTGTTCCTCAAATGCAAATTCAAATACGTGCAGGATTAGACTATTCTGGTCTAACTCAAATGGGGGGGGGGGGAGGGAATGTGAATTAACAGCTCAATAATGCTCAAATGTGGACAAGCTTTTAATGCCTGAAGAGAGCTCATTATTTCCTATGATCTGGACACAATGGTCCTGTTAATGCAGTCTTGGATGGCATTAGCTTTTTAAGCAATTGTCTCATACTTCTGGCTCAAGGGCAGAGAAATCCAAACCACTGATCCATTGTGCTGGAGGGAGTTTGGATGTATCCCTCCATCCAGCCCTGTCTGGATCTGTTAGTCTCTGTCTGTAGGAGAGCTCCACCCCCACAGGACAGCCTCACTGACGAGGAATGCCATAATGTGCCCACCCAGACAATGGGCATATGCTACTGCTGGCAGCACCCCGCTGGCAATAAAACTAGAAATGGGGTATTTTGGGGGTGGAGAGGGCAAGGCCCGAGCAGGCACAGGATCCATTAAGCTCTGCCACGGTCAGCTAGGAGTTTGGATTGCCTTTACTGTACCTAGACCCATTTCATATATTCTGCCGCCTAGACAGATCTTTCCCATCCTATTTGACTTGCTGGTTTTATCCTGTCAAGATTATTTTGACCCTTGATTCTATCTTCTACATGGTGTTAACTATCCTTCGCAGATTTGTGTCATGTGCAAATTTGATAAGAATCCCCTCTGCGCCCTCATCCGAGTCATTTATAAAATTGTTGAACTAGTCAGGGTGTAGGATGAAGCTATGTGGCACTACAGTCAAGACCTTCCTCCAGTTTGATAGAGAGCCCATTAATGAGCACTTGTTGGATCGCACAGACACTTGTGAATCCACTTAATAGCACATTGTCAGATTCAGATTTTCTCATCTTGCCAATACGTACTAGGATATCATGAAAGACACTTCCAAATGTTTGCTAAAACCAAGATATACTATGTTCACAGCATTCCCATGATCTACTGCACTAGTCACTATATCAAAAAAAGAGTTCAGCATTAATCAAATAATGCTTTGATTAATAGGAGCCAGCATAGGGTTTTTAAGAATAAGTCCTATTAATCAAAGCATTATTTTCTAGATGCTCACAGGTCAGCCACTTAATAATCTGTTCTATAATTTTGCCCAGCATTAATATCAGGCCAACCTGTCTGTAGTTTCCCTGTTCTCCCATACCCCGCTCTTTCTGAAGACAGGGACAATATTTGCCTATCATCAGGCTTCCACAACCTTACCAGTTCTCTAAAGAATTATAGCCAGCAGCTCTGAAATAATGCCCACAACCTCCTTCAGCACCCTGAAAAACAGGACATCCCATTCCCCCCCTCCCCACGAGAGCATGGCAGCCATTTTGGTTAAGTAACCCTTTGGTTTAGTAACCATTTTGGTTTAGTAACCCTTTACTATTATTTCTTCTGCTTTCTCCAAGTTAATTGCAATTTTCTTTGTAAGGGAAGACTGGAGCAAAGCATTCTCACCATCACTTATTAACACATGCCAGCTTCAGCCTGTCAGAACATACCTGCACAAACCAATATGCAGCATCCAGAAAGAGAAGGTAGCTAAGGCACCTGGAGATGCTTGATGTGTTTCAACTTTCATTCCTGTGCAGATTCAAATCTTGTGATGTATCTCAAACTCTGATAACATTCCACTACAGCACTTTAATATCTCTTTCTGCACCCATGGCCTTCAATAAATCATTGCATGTCATAAAATACTTTATTTATTGCCTACTGTAGTGCCTTAAAATGTGAGTCATTAAGAGTGGGAAAGGCCATAGAGTTAAGATTAATCAAGCAACAAGGAAAGATTAATGGCCCTCAGATGGAGGGAAGGGTAAATCTCACAAATCAGACAAATAGCATTAATAGATCCAGAACAATGTATAGATCCATTATACATAGCTGTCAACGTTTTCCTTTTTTTAAGGGAAATTCCCTTATTCCGAATAGGATTCCTCGCAAGAAAAGGGAAAAGTTGACAGCTATGATTATAGGCACGAAGGCTAAATCCTGGCAAGTTAAGACCTAATTCAAATTAAGCCCTGATAAGAACAGTAAGGAGAGAAGTAAACTGTAAACATCACATGAAATTTCCATGTTTAAGCCAGCAGACATCCAGCAATTAAAAAATATTGCCTCCCCACCTTATGGCTCACTTATAATGAGAAAGCAGTCACAAGGCATACTTTATCAGTCCTTCACAGTGGCTCTGGAAGACAGCGAGGGAGGGAGTACAAGGAGACAGGTTCATGGGGCAAGCAGAGGTGAATGAGCTGGAACTCTATGGGCAAAGGACCAGCTAACTAAAGGAATTGGTGGAAGACTTTTTCCTTCCAAGTATGGAGACGAGAAGGTGGCTTTAATTTGCTTTAGGCTGGAAACTTAGCTGTCTCCCAGCTCTTTCTTAATGCACCCTTGAATACAACAAGTACTAATGAGAGCTGGTTCCCCTGATCCACAGGAGTATTGATATTCTTCTCAGGGTATCTTTTTTGCATAAAGATTTCATTAAATAAAAAAGAGTGCCTGCTGCTATGAGAAGCATTTCTCACAGCAATGGCGATGTTCTGAGTGCCCTGATTCTGTCGGAGGTGGTATTTGGAGCTGCAGCACAAATTAGGGGAGAGGGGAAGGCTAGGGTTGCCATATTTCAATATTTCATATTTGGGAACAAACCTAAATTGTTGAGCTTTTTTTGGGTAAACCTAACCCAAACATAGTGATTTTAAGTTGCTTTTTTCATCACATTGCCATACATCCAGGTTTTCCCTGACATTTTGCCGATTTGGCAAAATTCCCCCCTGACGCCATTTTTTCACCTGAAAACCAAGACATGTCAGGAATTTTCCTGACATATGGCAAGCCTACAGAGAATAGCTCTGGGACTTTTCTCAGAAAAGGAGCAATAGTCACCAGAGTAACTGATGGATTTCCCCTGCTCTGGCAAGTGAATGCGATGAAAACAAGGCTTCCGAGTTTCACTATTGTTTGTGACAGATTAGCATAGTTCAGGAGTGTGGAACCTTTTTCTAGCCTGAAGGCTGCATTTCTTTCTGGGTAATTTTCAAGGGGTGGGGGGACGGGACACATGGCAACAAGGGGCAGGACCAGAGGCAAACATGGGTGAGAAAACTGATGCAGATGTTATCATTGTGCAGAACGGTACACAATCACACACGCCTCTCTATCCTCCATCATGGCAAACATCATCACATTCTGGCCAGGCAAAAACACTCAAGGAGGGTGAAAAGCAGGGCCAGTGAGGGACATGGTCTGGGGAGAGGGGGTTTAGGGTGGGGAAACTCCTGAGGTTCAGGTAAAGAAGCTTAGAGTGAAGCATTTGGCCTGGGGTTCTCCACACTTGACAGAGACTCTTTCCTAGGCTATATCACAGAACAGGGTGTGGAAACTTATTTGGCTCCCTCAGCCAGATCCTTATCAGGATTAGTCTCATGGGTCAAATTTGACAGGTGGGCAGGGATGACACATCAACCACATCATTGTGATGGCACATGTTTGGACAGGTGAGCGTTGGCCACACACCTGTCAAATGTGCAGCTCTGCCAGTCTCCCTCTCTCCCACTGATGAGGTCGGGGAATGAGGAAAATAGTCAAGCACAGGCTGGAACCATACTAAGTAAACACAGATTACATGGTACCTTGGGATACAAACGCTTGGGTTACAAACGCTTCGGGTTACAAACTCCACTAACCTGGAATAGTACCTCGGGTTGAGAACTTTGCCCCAGGATGTGAGCGGAAGTTGCCCGCCGGTGGCACGGCACATTAGCAAAAGCACGCCTCAGGTTAAGAATGGTTTCGGGTTAAGAATGGACCTCTGGAACGAATTAAGTTCGTAACCGAGGTACCACTGTATAATGTTTTTGTTGTGTTGGAAATTCTTGAGTAAGTTTAGTGGTCGTGCTACTTGAGCACTGCTAGCTTTTGACTGATCCCTGAGAAACAATGTGCTGTGTTGTTTTACCACAGGCTCTGTTAGAGGTGGTGGCCACAGTGTGCCATGATTCAAAACAGGGTGATGTAATGGAGTGATGTTATCTATCCCTTAGTGCCCTTACTATGAACTGTAACTGTGCTTCTGGGCAGCACCTTCTTCAGCAATGGGAACACCATGGGGGGAAAGCGTGGGAAGTCGAAAAGGGAAATCCAGAGGACCCTCAGTTTGACTACTTCCTGCTGTCCCCTTCTGCTCCCTTCTGGTTATTAGAAAATGCTCTTCAGTCATCCCAATCAGTGGAGCAGAGTTGTCCGTTGTTCACAAAGAAGAGAGCAGAATGGCCTCATAACCTCCAGTGAATGTTAGAGATAAAAGTTTTTTAACTCCACTTTTATGGAGTGCTCTAAATGTCTCACTCAGTACCTCAGATATGGTGGTTTGGCTCTTTTTGGCTTAAATAAGTTTTTGCTCATTCTCTGAAATCACTAAACAGTGTTGGGGGGACGTATGTAAAAAACAACAAAGACACATCTCAAAATGTTATCAACTGTCTTACATCACGAGTATTGCACTAGGAAGAGGCTTTGAGATAGTAGTGTTACAGGAAGTCCAACTTTAGATTATCTGGATAACGGAAGCAGCCTCAGATGCTCAGTAATTAACAATGACTCCCATAAGACCATGAGCTTGGTTTAAGATGTTTTTACACAGCTTCCACCGCCCCGCCACTTTTTCGTTAAATGAAAAATGTATTATATTCTTTTTTAGCACAGGTGTGAGGCAAGATGTGCCTCAGCACTAAACCAACTCCATGACAAAGTCATCACACATGAAATGGAAGCTGAACCATTATGAAACTAACTGCAAAAGAAAGATCACTGTGTCACAACATCCAATAGTCTATCTACTGGATTCTTCGTCATTGTTATATATATTAAAATATTCTCCTTCAGAGAATTAGCATACTAGTTCAAAATCAGCATACCATTTAGAACCTCTGTTCTCTTTGCTCCTTGACCCACAAAAGTCTATTGCTATGCCATTCCTTTCTTATACCTTTACTTTCCCCTCTGCAGCTGCACAGTTTATCAGCATTCTGTGGCTTATAGCTTCACCCTCAGAAATTAGAATGTTCATAGACATTCGGTTACATCCAAGCAGGTCCATTAATGGCTAAGAGGAGCCCACAGATAACAAGCCCACTTTTTATTGCTACCATTTAGCCATTTACATATCAGGTATCTATGGCCAATATTTTCTCTCAGATATTCAGACAGAAATTTGACAGATATTGCTGCAGAGTAGGGGAAGCATGGGACTACATTTCTGAAGAATGTGGTATAGCTACATCCAATCCTCCTGCCATATATTACAATCTTATACCCACTTACCTGGGCACTTTACTTCTGAATAAATGTGTGGGCTTGCACTGTTACTTTCAAAAAGGTTTGCCGATACTAAGAGATGGAGTAGCAAAAAGTTGGATGCAGTTCTTGTGGCTATTTTTTTTTTTTTTAATCATGGTCCATAATCTTCAAATTGAGTGTGTCTTACCAAGTCTGTTCCTAATGGATTGAATGCCTTGAGATGGGATACTGCTTGGGAACAAACTGAACAAAAAGGGAAATATGTCCTTAAAAAATCCTAAAGGCGTAATAATGAATATTGCAAACAAAATTAGACTTATGCAGGCTAACACTTTGTGGGGGTGTGCAAGATCTCAGCCTGAAATCACGAGAGAGCCAAAATGGCTGCCGTGCTCTCATGGAAAAAAACCTGGATGTCCTGTTTTTTCCCACGGCAGTTAACGAATATGCAATCTCTCAATTTATGTGTATAGAAAGAAAAAGAAAGTAACAGCACATTGGTTCAGATGCACCTATCGCAGTTTCACAATGAACAGAGTCACAGCCCCTCCCTTCATAGCGACACAAACATTTAAGGCTGTAGAACTGGAGCATTGTGGAGGATGCAAAATGGTGGCCAGGCTCTGAACACAGTTGCTGCTGTTCAGACAAAACCTTAGTGGGAGGGGAAGTGGTGCTATTGCCACTGATAATGATAAAGTGTTAGAGAATTTTGTCTGCCTCTGGAGAAATTAAGTATCATCATACTTTTAGCTGATTCATTCAACCAGAAGATTTCTGCTGGTTACTGTTTCCTTCTTCAACTTGTGTCAGCTTTGTGTTCTTGGGGAGCAGGTCATGTGACTCATTCACCACAAACCAAAGCTACCTCAATACGCACAAATAATCTCTGGGTCATCATGCGCTGTCCCTGGATGAAGAATGGTGCGATGAGCAATCAAAACAGGAGACATAAGCCCAAACATGAGGTGATCATTTCTACTCTGACACACATCCTGGTTAATGATCTCTTTGGGCCTGGGCTCCTATTAGCACCATAACATTAAGATTTATAGCATTATGAATGAATCCCTGAAGAGGCTGTGAGGTAACAGAAGAGGCACTAGGCACAAAAAATGTGCATCTATGCATTACAGCTCTCCCAAGTAAAGGCTTTCTTCCATTTCACACAACATGAGTCTTAACATCTTGATTCACGGCATCTGGCACCAATGCCATTAGTCTGTCTCTAGCCTCTAAGGATATTTCTTGCCTTCTAAAGGTTCTTAGGTGTAATTGCCAATTTGCTACCAAGCATGCTGTCGTAGATCCATTCCTCTGCTCCCATGAAAACTCCATCGTGCCAATGGTATTTACAAGATTAATTTTGTTCCATTACCTCCCAAGGGGTGATATGGCAGGGTTGGGAAATGTTTCACTAAGCCCTGGAGGTCTCTTTCTTTGCTGCTATGTCACTTAGTCACACAAGAGTGAGTGTAACATACTGAATGGAAAGAACCACTGCGGCTACTATTTTCTATTATTATGGTGATGGTTTTATCTTTAAAACACCTTTCAACAGTCCATTTGCTTCCAGCATAATTCCTAAATCTCTGGTGAATTCTCTAATTCCCCATGAGCAAACTTAACCATCGTAGTTGGCCCTACCATTAGGCAAAGTGAGACAGCTGCCTCAGGTGGCAAATGCTGGGGGGCAGGCAGTGCCCGTGAGGTGTTGTGTGTGCTGCTTGGCCTGCCTTGCATTTAGGTATGGTGGAGGATGCTGTCCCATGGCCTGTGTCAGAATTTGTCTTGTCCCACAACCCTCCTTCCTGCTCTGTGTCCAAGATATGTCTTAATGCTCCAACTCATTGACATGGCATGGAGGTGTTGCCAACCTGCTTGGCTCAGCCAACAAAGCTGTTTTGCCCACCCAGCTGCAAGGTGCTTCTACCACTGCAGTAGTGGCTGCACCTGATGAGCTGGCAAGGGATCAAGGACTGCTCTTTAGCTTCTTGGTTCAATCCTAGATTTATACAGAATGCAAAACCACAGTATTTCCCTTTTGACTGAGTCAATTAGCTAGCCCACAAGGAACACCAAGCCAAATAATGACTTAGCACAAATGCACAGGTCCCCAGAGAAGAGATTGCAGCCACTTTGCTCCTTAGTCCTGCTGTGAATAAGCCATAGTTTGGTTTAGCGTGTTTTCTGAACTTGGGGCTGTGGTTTGTCCCCACCAGACAACCACAGGCTGTCTTCTTTGGCGATCACTCGTAGCTGAGTAAGATTGTCTTCCATAAACACGGTTTTAACAATGAGTCCGTAAGTGACTGTGGAGGCCAATTCTGGACCCACACGTCCTTCCACAGTGGGGACATGGGTTTCCAGGTGGGAGTTGATCATGGTGAGGTTTTGCCAAATGTGCCTTCCTCTTAGCACATTTCTCCCTTGCGTCCTGAGTTCAAGTGTCTTCAAAGCCCAAGACACCTTTGGTAAAGGCTGTTCTCCAATTGGAGCAGTCGCAGGCAAGTGTTTCCCAATTGTTGGTGTTTATACTACATTTTTTTAGATTTGCCTTGAGACAGTCTTTAAACCTCTTTTGTTGACCACCAGCATTACGCTTTCCATTTTTAAGTTCGGAATAGAGTAGTTGCTTTGGAAGACGATAATCAGGCATCCGCACAACATGCCCAGTCCAACGAAGTTGATGTTGAAGAATCATTGCTTCAACACTGGTGATTGTTTCTTCTTCCAGTACATTGGTATTAGTTTGCCTGTCTTCCCAAGTGATGTGCAAAATTTTTCAGAGACACCAATGATGGAATCTTTCGAGGAGTTGGAGATGGCTTATAAGTGGTTTATAAGTGGTGACACATCTCATGGACTGGCAAACAGCAAGACAAACTATGGGCCTTTGTTTGAACAGAATGCTAAACTAAACCATGGCTTAGCTTGCAGCAGCAGGAGGAAAACCAGGGGGTTGGGTTTGCTCCTTGGCTTTGATTCCCAGGTTCCAACTCTCATCAACCTTATCTCTGGCTGGGGGTGACAGGGGGCAAGATGCTACTGTTTGTAGGTGAAAATATGCTACTGGAAGAATGTTGTAAAACTTTACAGTGATGAGCTGATAGAAGCTCATAAATCTCATAACACCTGCAACTGTATAAATCTATCATAATAAGGCATATACTAATCCAGTGCCTAGGAGGTAAGGCTACACATTTTTAGCATAGAAAAGAAAGCACAATTTATTCTTCAAATTGGATTTATATCCATCGGAACCAGCTGGGAAGCAAGATGGAAAGTTTACCAATAATGAAGTCTTCAAATTGAAATTACACTGCCTTCTAAAAGAGATAAATTTTAGCCAAATGCAATTTAGCCAAACTTGATGTAGTAAGGAGGAGATTTGTTTATCTATCTATCATTAAATTTATGTCCTGTCCTTCGTTCCTAGGGCACCCAGGGAGCCTGAGATTCTACTGTTGTTAGCCGCCCTGAGCCCGGCTTCAGCTGGGGAGGGCGGGATATAAATAAAATTTATTATTATTATTATTATTATTATTATTATTATTATTACTCAGTGGTGACTGGGTTGATTAGTATTAACAATTGATTGTGCTTTGATCAAAATTGACAGAAATTACTTTGATTGTTGTAATTAGAACTTGAAAGTAGAATAGGCAACTGCATTCCACTCATAAGTTTTCCTTTTCTCCATTGAGCATTGAGCAGAACAATATATTTGATACTAGTGCTAGGTTTTTCTCAGTTTATAATTTTTCCAATATTAAGTTCAGCTCTCCACATTTCCACATCAGTTTGTAACGTTTAAAAAGTCCTCATGAAAAACACCAGCATTTTTGCACAAATTTCTCCTAATATACACATTTTTGTATGCAGTTATACCAAATATACACATTTGTGTAAACCAATTTCCTTTACTAGAATGCATTACTGTATATTATTTTCAGTAATATATGCATCTTAATGCACACTTGTCCCTAATATATGCATTTTGTACACATTACTTAGCTGGAGAACTGCACTGCAAAATGTGAACAAGTGCAATTTCTGAAGGATGGCTGTTTTTCAGTTCATGTATTGTTTTGGAAAGTACAAATTAGGTAAGTCTGCCTTTAAATATGAACTAAATCAAGTTTCTCCCCCTCATCCTTAGTGCTGAAGCAGATCACCTTATGGTTACAATCATCTGCTGCATCCTCCATGCTGTGACATCATCAGAGATGCTGTGTACATACATATCACAGATTTTTAAAGCACATTTGAAGCATTTCACCCAGAGAATCCTGCGAACTTCATTTTTTAAAGAGTCCTGGGCGCTGAAGCTCTGCATTCTTTGGGGGAAGTCATGTCATTTAAATGTATGGTGTATATGCAACCATAATTTCAAGCCAAGATGATGCTCTGATAGGCCTGTATCTTTTCAAACAAGAGTAGAAAAATGAGTATTTATGAGCGCATGCTCTTTGCCAAATCTGGTATCAAAGCCTCATTAGACATAAATGCAGGGAATTTTCCCACTTCAATCCCCTTTAAGGGATTGACCCAATTCAAAGAGAATTGAACCGGGCCATAATTCCTCATGGACACAAGGTTTAAGGAGTATCTCCAGACCAACAGTCACGTCACATTTCATTTTAGCTTTGCATCTCTGAAAATAAATCTCTGTGTGTTTCCAGTAAACGTGCTAACTCTTCCTGGAATTGTGTGCTTGGATTTTTCTTTCTTTCTTTTTATTTTACAAAATGTCGCATTTGCACAATTGTATTCACAACCATCTGACAGGTGTGATCCCTCTCTATCGGAATTTAAGAGATGTGTGCAAAATATGCTTCCGTTTTACAAGATCTCCATCTAATGAGTGATTTGGGCTCCAGCTTTTTTTTTATTGCTCCAGGTTCTATTCTTGTTTTTATGGGTTTCATTGAATTCTTAATGCCTGCTTTAAATTGCTTATTATGACCTTCTAAGCTGCCTTGAGAAATCTTTGGAACTAAAAGACGAGATAATGTGGGCACAGTCTTGAGATGGGAAGGAGCCAGGTTCAAGGACTGTGAAATAGCAAGGTTTCTCTGCTGGGAGGAAAAAAACAACCGGGGCTGCCTCCAAACTTTCCTGGAACTTGGACACAGTGGGAGTTATTTTGGCATAAACATGTACAGGCTTACACTGTGGGAGACTTAGGGCCCACCCAAACCTCAACTTAATGGGGATTGTGAACCCCTTGTGCTTCCTTGTCCATGTGCCGTTCCAACTACTGCTGCCCCACACTTTCTCTTCCCTAAACCTTAAGACTCCCTATGCAACTGATGTAGCTCTGCTATTGTGATTTTCATAGCATAGGAGTTCTCTGTATGTCAAATCTAGGGTTGCCATACGTCTGGATTTTCCTGGACACAACCAGAATACTGCAGTCAGCAGCAGCGTCTGGGTGGAAATTGGGGGAAATGTCTGGGGAAATCTGGACGTATGGCAGCCCATGTCAGCATTTTTTATTTTTTATTTGCAATTTTGCCCCAAAAGCTCATCAACTTTGCCAAAGAAAGCCCAACAACTTCAGATTTTCACTGTTTGCAAAAATGGCAACCCTATTTAAATACACAGAAAGAACAGGGTGGATTGGAGGAGGTGTGGCACTAAAAATCTAATACATGGAGTCCAACAAATTATTTATTGATGGCAACTCTGCTCCATAACCAGAGTTCTCTGAGTGGTTTACATCAAAAATAAAAATGCAATCAATTAAAATGCAATCATAACGAAGAAATATGCAGCATAAAAAACAAACAACAGCAGAGGCAATATCAATTCAATAGTAGGACAGACAGCAGCATAAACAGAGCTTAAAACCTTCAAATTTTTAAAAAGATTTGAAGCCTTCAGAAGTGTAGTTAGAAAACTGAAGGGAGGGATGTCATAATGGGGCCCTTCAGTACCCACACATTAATTGAATAAATCAGCTTTTCCCAACCTGGTGCCCTCCAAATGTTTCAGAGTACAACTGGTGAAAATGTATATTCAGGTAATGCCAATGCAAGCCCAGCCCACCCAGCAGGGCTTTATGAAGTGATGGGATTATCTGGGAGCTGGTGCACCAATCAGGTCCTATGCTGCCATGTGACAGCAGCAGGACTGGATCCAGTGGATCCTGAGCCAGCTCACCCCTGCCTGTTTTCCAGTGATCGCTGACTCCACCATTGTGAAGGTTCAGGGAATCCTATCCCTCCCCCGGTGGAATCCAAAGAAGCAGATAACACAAAGAGTCCTTACCAAGTAATTTATTCAGTATTCACAAAGAGAGAGAAAGGAATGTAGTCCTTATTCAATAATGGCATTGCTCTGAGTAAAGCCCCACACCCTCTGTTTCTCTTATCCTACGTCATCCCTGCACCGGCTGATCTGAGCTTTCTGCCTCTGAGCTTTCTGTTCTACTACTCTTAATGCACACCTAATTCTGGGAGAGGGGGGCTCAGGAATGCTCTCCAAAGACACTGAGTCTGTCAGCTGTCTCTCCCCTGGTGCTGCTTCTTCCTGCTGTTCCTCTTCCAATATTTCCCAGCTTTCCCCCTCTGCAGTCTCTGAACTATGTCCTTCTGCAAACCAGTCTTCTAAATCTATACTGTCCTCCTGTTCTCGGAAAGGTTCAGGAGAAGGGGAGACTGCCCCCACCATTCCTCCTCAGTCCAGCCCCTGACAACCATTCTCTTCAGCTGGCAGAAGGGAGAGCACTATACCAACCTAACAAAATGAGCTTGCTCTGTAAATTTTTTAATATGCTAAATAACTGTGCATTGGAGCCAGTTAGGCAGAAGTGGTTAATCTCTGACTTAATCTTGAGAGGTACTCAAGATCTGGCTTGTGATGATGCTTTACTCCTTAGGGCAGGAATAGGGCAGGATGCAGTGGTGGCAAGGTTGAGGGAACTCCAGGTTGACAGAAATGACCCCATCAGTTCATGCACGTATGCCCTGAAGCCCCCTCCCACCTCACCCATGCCTCCCCTCACCCTGATGAGTGCACAACCACTGCTGACAGGGACTGGCCCAAGGTCCCTCCATGAACTTCATGGCTGAGTGGGGACTAGAACCCTGGTCTACCAGGTCTTAGTCCAACACTCTTACCACTAGACCACACTGGATTGTTCATATAACATGACTTGTTTTTACTGGTGATGCAATTCCTGCCCCTTTCGCCATGAGAACTTTTATTTTTATCTTTATCAGAACCTTTAGTATCTGGGCCACTTCCCCTCTGCAAAGCTGCTGCAGAGCACCCAGAAATAATGGTGTCTCATCCATTTCATCTTCCATTTGGTGAACATGGCAAAGGCCCATAGCAAGACATCTCCCTGGCTATATCCCGCTCCTTGGGGATGGAGTACGGAAGACAAATGTGTAATGCTGTATACACGTAAGGAAAATGCAGCACCAAGCCACCAACCTTCGCTCACCCTCCCTGTTCATTCTAGTTGCACCTGCTTTGCCAAAAGTTCCCACTTGGGTGGAGCACAATCTGAAGGGCCTTTCTGTTTTGCTTCTTGCACAGAGAGGTTTGCTGATACGAAAAAGGGGGGAAATATCCCAGGCATTTGCACTGTGAACACGACATGATTAAAGCTGAGATTAATCTCTCTCTCTGTCTTGACTGCTGTCCTCGTGGTTTATAGAAGTGACCTGATTCTTAATGGGATCGTCAACCCACATCTCCAGGCAGCGTAGCCGTAGCTTCATGTAGGCTGCAAGAGATGGATCTGTAGCACAATCTCAACTTCTTGCCCTAAAGGCAGTATGATCGCTGACATTCAATGGATGTCCAGCACTACTAGCCCAGTATTTGTCTTGTTCCAAGAGCACCGGTTTGTTCACTATTTCCCCTTCTCATTCCTCCTCCTATCAGCCCATCCCATTATTTTCTTCTCTGGCTTTCTGTTCATTTGATTCTTTAATATATATTTTTGGTGGTGCATATGGAGATAGGAATGATGTGGGTGTGTGGCTGAATATATATAGAAGGTTCACATCAAGATCCAAAGTTTTTAACAGGGCGGACATTTTCTAAAAGGCTGACCTTGTAGGAATGATGTTGTAGAGAAGGGAAAGGGGGGTGTTGAGGAACTAAACATGAATGTTAAACAAGCACATGACAATCTGGGTGTGTTTTTTTAAAAAAACCTTTTCCTGATGGCGTGCCCATATTAAAATTAATATAATGTGATGCTGCCAGATGTAGTTTCCTCTGGATGGAGTCTTACAGCATCATTGCAGTACATGCTGTGTTTACAAATATACAAGCAGAGTATAAGTGGAGACAAACAGGCACTTCTACAAGAAAGATGGACCTTAAGACAGCAACTTACTTACTTAATGAAATTTGTATACCGCCATTCATCTATAGAGCTCAGGGCAGTTCACAGCATAAAACTAGGCTGCAACCCCAGTTTCAGCAGATTCTAGCTAGAAAATCAAGGTGGGATTCAACTAGCAAACCCCTTCAGTCTGTTTCCTTGTACAATAGAGCCCCCTAAAATTGGCTCAGGGGATCAGGAGAACCCCCAGGACAGCACACCGAGCAGGGGTGAGGAGGGGGGTTGTTCCATCTAGCCAAGCTGGTTTGCTTACACAGAGGGAATGTTTGTAACAGCACAACATTGAATTCCACCGTCACTTCTTTCTCTCCCTGCCTCTGTATGTCCCCAAACTGTCAGCTGCTGCTGATTCTGACACAAACACACACTCTCACATACGACTTCTTTCTACCAAATATTGGATTGTCACTTTCTTCACGCTTTGATGGGTATCTCATCCAAAAACAAGGAGTGTTTTCACCACAATACTATCCCTGAACAATTAGTTCCCATTGATGAACCATCAACAAATGACCCTGGATTATGAATCAGCAAAGAGCAAAGGAATACATGGCCAGAAACTGTAACAATATACTGTAAATAAACATGTGTTCTTTTGGGAACAAATGTAAGAGCAATTTGCTCCTGCTGACGCCACTACTTGTGTCTTCTGGATTGTACAGGTTGATCTGTGCCAGGGATGGGAAATACTCTCCAGCCCAAGGGCCACATCCTCTTGATAGCAACTTTCTGGGATTTGCATGCAAGAGGTGGCCGGGGCAATGGAGGCAACCTGCATCTTTGTACTGTAGGCTACAGTTCGGCCATGCAAAAGCCAGCAGTTTCTATGCGTACATCTCTTCATCCAGGCAAGCAAGAAGCATTTTTTTCAGTTCAAGCCCACATTCCAACCAGGCAAAACAACTGCAGGATAGTCTTATAGGCCACCCCAATCTCTACCAAGAGGTGCAAGATTCTAGGAGTCTTGGCGCTTAACCAGGGTTTGTGCCCCTTTGAAATGAGGCACAGCAGAGACTAGTGCTTTTAAGAAATATGGTTTATTTTACACATATCTACACCTGAAACCTTCAGTGGAGGGGGTCCTCATAGCCTCAGCAAGCAGCCATGGTCCCTGGCCTCTCAGTGCAACCCCTCCCAGCCAGCGCCGCATGGAGTTCTGCCCACTTTGTGTTCCTTTTTCCCAGCAGCCTTTGCAGAAAATATTTTCTCTGTTTAAAAGGACACACTATTTTCCTGTGGTGACATCACACAACCTGTTCCCCTGGCAACCTCTGTGGTGATCACCCAGGGTCCCTGGATGTTCTACCATCTATTGATCCCTGTGCCACCACTTTATTTCTTGCTGCCACCACCCAGGCCCTACCTGGTACAATACTGAGTCCAGTCAGCGTTAAATTGGAACATAAACTTCTGTTTATTTATTGCAGTTTAAAGCGTGTGATTTCATAAACGGTATTGGTCAATTACAATCATGGAGTGCCTATCCAGACCTATAACTTCTGCTACCTGCTGTCACTCACTAAACCACCTCTCAGATATTTACTTGTCTTCCTAGCCCCTAACTGTTCCTGACTCAGCTTATTTCGCTACACTAACTCAACCTAACCACAGACTCTATCCCAATTCACTCCCCACTCCAACCACCCACCCAACTCCCAATGAACTCCTCCCTTCCGCCCCTCCCAGAGCTGGTATTCTAGTCCCTCTGACTCCACCCCCTGGGTTCTGATTGGGTAACTTGTTTAACTATTTCACCTCCAGCACTCTCATATGTTAACGTTACAACCTCTCCCCTCTCAACTTTACTATTGTCTTCTGCTAACTAACACAAACTGGGGAGTGGCGAGGAATTCCACCCCAACTCCATGTCTGACACTGAATGTTTCACCTTTCATCAGAGTCATGTTCTTTAATGGCACCTTTCTAAGCCAATAGCCTAAGGAAGCTGGCTTGACTTCAAACCCCACATTTACCAATGTCAGAAATTATGGGGAGAAACTGGCATGCAGGAATTTCAGAGGATCCTTGTCTCTGGCTAACCCATAACAATAGTATGGAGCAGGGCCAGGCAAGAGTGAGGTCTAGGGAAGGGCATAGTCTCAAGGGCCAGACAAAAAGGAGTTCCATTTGCCCCACTCCCACCCTGATACCTGAAGTTTCCTACCCCAGATCTATTGGGTCTTGCTTATGGCTGTTTGTGCATTTGGGGAAGATTTCTATCCACTACCCGTAGACATCTTATTTGTTTTGTCACCTACCACAAATTATGCATGGAAAAAACCCAAAATATTTACATGTGAACATGCATCTTTTCCTTACATAATGCAAATGTTGCAGTCCGTTGTCTCAGATGACATTATGAAGATTGTTTTTGGCAGAGACTAGCATAGTGATGGGAAATGCTAGAGAAGGACTGTAAGACGGAATTTGAAGAGGCACAACGGGGGAGGTTGTTAGGCAGGGCATTTGTAAAAGAGGGGGAAGAGATTAATGAATGTCTGCTCCGCTTCCAGTTGTTTGTCAGCCATATAAATTGCTTAAGTCTGAAGAGGCTCAGATCAAATGGAAATTCTCCAGCTCCAGTTATGAAGTGCATGCAAGATAACAGCCAACTTCTATGGAAACATCTGTGCTCACAGACTCATGGCACAAGGGTGCTTTATAAAAAAACACCCTCAACTCCAACCACCTTCTCAAAGACAATCACATAGTCCTCTTAGTCTCTTGGTCACTTCCCATCTCAGAGCAACAATGATAATACAGAGAAACGAAAACTAGTTGAAGGTCAAAAATAGTCTACTAGTATGATCACATCAGGCCTCCTCTGTTGTCTGCTCTCTTCAGTTGCTTCCCACAGAACACCAGGTCTATCTATAGGGAAACCAATCTTGGCCCAGCAAACTGGCTCAGCAACAATTCAACCTGTTCAACAAACATTTGGCAGTAAGAATATTGGCTTGCCATAGCATTTATTCACAATGCAATGGAGCTGTTTTGGAATCAGCGGAAGGGAAATATGCCTTTCTTCAGAGAGCTTTGGGTGGCTTTACATGAACAGCTACCACATGGTAAGTGTTTTAAACTGCTAAGTCTGGAAACACAGCTGAATGTCAGTCTAGGGGTCCTTACCAAGGGCATTGTTAGTGGATGTCCTGAGGGATCTAAGCTCCTTTGGGACTGGACCCCCAGATCACTGACTCCCCCCCCTTTTTAAACCTTTTGGTTTTTTAAAAAAACTTTGTTTACAAGATGATCTGTCACACTGTCCACTGCCCACCTTCATTTTCCCAGACACATTTGTGTCATGGTCATAGCTGTCAACTTTTCCCCTTTTTAAAGGGAAATTCCCTTATTCTGAATAGGATTTCTCGCAAGAAAAGGGAAAAGTTGACAGCTATGGTCATGGTCTCTGCTCCCCACCCCACAAGTCTTAGCATGATCCTGGGACCTGGCATATCTGAGAAGCTGATTTTCACTAGGCCATTGCGCAGGTGGTTCTTTCAGTTTTTTCCATGTGCTGCTCCACTATGTCCATTGTCCAAGTTGAGCAGGCTCACTGCATGGACAAGATGGCTGGCCTTCTTGACAACACACTGCGAAAGATCCAAGGCACAGACCCGCATCCACAAGAGATCAAAATCCCTTTAGATACTACACTTCTTTTTTGGAATGACACCAAATCTTTGGACCAGAAGAATTCTAAGTACAAGCTGCCACCTGGTTGTCTGGTACCTGAGACTGTGTTCTTGTTTTCCTTTTTGCAGTAGAAAAACACCCATCATTGTGACAGAAAGGATGAGTCTGGATGAAGAGTTTTATATTTGTGGACAGTTCCTGAGAATATGCACAGTGAACATAGTATATCTCTTTATTGGGCTGGACTATACAGTGCCAGGCACAGAGGGCAGCTTTCCCCCTCACTATAAGTGTCCTCTAATGTAACACTTTACTTTGCTTCCATTTACTCCCATAAGGGTGATGCTGTGGATTAAACCACAGAGCCTAGGACTTGCCAATCAGAAGGTCAGTGGTTCGAATCCCCACGACGGGGTGAGCTCCCATTGCTCGGTCCCTGCTCCTGCCAACCTAGCAGTTTGAAAGCACGTCAAAGTGCAAGTAAATAAATAGGTATGGCTCTGGCGGGAAGGTAAACGGCGTTTCTGTGCGCTGCTCTGGTTTGCCAGCAGCGGCTTAGTCGTGCTGGCCACATGACCCGGAAGCTGTATGCCGGCTCCCTCGGCCAATAAAGTGAGATGAGCGCCGCAACCCCAGAGTCGGCCACGACTGGACCTAATGGTCAAGGGTCCCTTTACCTTTTTACTCCCATGGGGCAATCAACTTAAATGGGGAGAAAGTGAAGGAGTGCATTTGGAAACATCTTTAGGGTAGGGATGAAACCTTCTCCCCACTCCTGGTAACTTCACTCTAGTCACCTAGTCCTGTCTCTTCACCTATGTGGCCTCATCTTTGCTTCAGTCTCTTGGTCACACAAGAATGTGAAAGAAGGTTGAGAACCGGCTTTTGGATCCTCTGTATTCAGTTATTGTTATAAGGGAGATTTTGGAGATTTCCCTTTAAAAGATAACTTCAGAGCAAGGAGAATAGGCAAAAGAGAAGAGCAAGAACGAAACACAATGCTTAAAAGAGCCTCTTCTTTAGAACTCTGCCTGTCTTTGATGCTTGGCTGGAATTTTCAGAGAGTGACAATTAAAGTGTTGTCAAATTTAATGACGGCAAGTTGTGTTACATAACCAATATATTCACACACATACACTTCAAACAAGCTATTAACCTCATTTGAAGCCATGTTACCTTTTCACTCAGTGTATATACACCCTTCCTTTCCTGGAGTGGGAAAGTAAGATCTTAATTAGGGTTTGCTCTCATGTTAACCAGTGTCAGCCTGTGGCTGAAATCCATTGGTCTTTTCTCCTATAGGTCAATCACTCAATTATCCCAAAGCCTTGGAAGCAGGATTTTTCTCTCCATCTCTGGTACTGCTGTGGGCTGCAGGGAAGGCATGTTGTGTGGCGAGATTCTTTCCCATGTCACAAGTTAGCTGCAAAGCTGTCTGGAATTTTTCTTCTTCTCTGCAGCTCCCTGCAGGAAAAACAGTGCCTTGCTGCAGACTAGAGGAGACTTTAGGAAGATTTATACCACTGGCCTAGCTTAACTTTTCCAACCACACATATATCCCTGAAGGCACTTTTTAGGGTCCTGCTTCAGGCTGATTGGTGGCCCTGGAGAACATGCGTTGCGGCAAGAATAATCCTGTGCCAATCAATCACAAACTGCAGAGATTTGCACCAAGCTCTCTTTCGTTATTGCATTTCCAGTGTCCATTTCCTAGTAAATTTACAGCCGTGTCTGACCCAATTATAAGAAATTTATCCATGAGACATCCCAGTTGTGATTCTGCTTTTTAAACTACCATGTCACTTTCCAAGCTGGTTTCATGCATGCCTCTTGAACAGATAATCAGGAAAGAAGGTTTGTTGTTTTTTAACTTTGCAGAGGTGTGTGTATATCCATGGACTGCAAACATAGGCGTTCTGTCTGAAATGGAGCTTATTAGAACATAGGAAGTTGCCCTGTATGGAGCCAGGCCATTGATCCATCTTGCTCTGTATTATTTGCAATGAATGGCAGTGGCACTCCAGGAGTCCTTCCTAGCCCTATGTAGGGATGCCCAGGGTTGAACTTGTAGCTGTTGGCTATGTGTTCCAGCAGTGGTGCATGAGCAGAAGTAAGCAGAGCGGCATTCTCACTTGCAGAGATGGAGCTAAGTGAAACAGTGGTGAGGCTGGGAGACCTCAGGTTTGTGGCAGTAGCATCCCACAGGAGCACAGTAACCCGGAGCTCCCCTGAACTTGCAACTTCTTCAGGCTCATCCACTTTTCCCGCTGCTTTCTCCCAGGAAAACCCACACTTTACTGCTGATTTGGAGCAAACAGCAATCAGGGTTTTTTTGCAGATTGACATTTGCGGGAGGCAGTGGAAGACAGAAGTGCCTGGCGTGCTCTGGTCCATGGGGTCACGAAGAGTCAGACACGACTAAACGACTAAACAACAACAACAACATTTGCTCCGATTCAAAGAGCAAGTTCTCCTGGGGAAACCGGCAGGGCAAAGAGAAACCCCTCTTACCCATGCCTAGAAAGCACAGGGCGAGCAGAAAACCTCTCAGATCAATGCAGTACCAGAGTTACGTATAAGGGTGGCGCTGTGGTCTAAACCACAGAGCCTAGGGCTTGCCAATCAGAAAGTCAGCAGTTCGAATCCCCACAACGGGGTGAGCTCCCGTTTTTCAGTCCCAGCTCCTGCCCACCCAGCAGTTAAAAAGCATGTCAAGTGCAAGTAGATAAATAAGTACTGCTCCGGTGGGAAGGTAAATGGCGTTGCTGTGCGCTGCTCTGGTTCTCCAGAAGCAGCTTAGTCATGCTGGCCACATGACCTGGAAGCTGTCTGCGGACAAACGCCATCTCTCTTGGCCTATAGAGCGAGATGAGCACGCAACCCCAGAGTCATCCGCAACTGGACGTACTGGTCAGGAGTACCTTTACCTTTACAAACAAGCTATAGCTTAGGACCCCACTCTCTTGCTCCATCCCCAAATATACTTCTTAATTGTATTTCACTATTAATATAGTTCTTCTTAATTGTATTTCAGTTCAACAATTGCTTTGATAAAATACATATTTTGTTATGTGCAAATGGCTTTAGATACCTATTAGGTCCATAAATTACCATATAGCATATATTCAACACAAAAAAATCAACAATTTGTTGTTGACAAAGGACAGCTGCACATATAAAGGGCCCCATTACCTTCAGTAGCTTAGAGCCTTATCAAACCTAAATCCAGCCCTGGAAGGCATGAGACAAATGTGGACAAGCCCTTCGTCTCGCCCCATCCTCATCCTGGAACACAGCAGCAGTGCAACCCTGCCCTCACATGCTACTGTGCTATATAATTAAGCTACAGCTTAATTAATTTAGTTGTTGGTGAATCAGCTTTTTGTACCTGTTTTGAAATGCTATTTGGTCACTATTAATAGGTGCCATGTTTTGAACGTGAGAAATGGTGTCCTGTATGGATTAAAAACAACCACCTGCAAGAGAACATAGCAGCAGAAGCAGAATCCCATAGGGCAGGTGATTCCTAGACTTGGAAATTCTTATCTACTGCCTTTGGGGCCAGTTCACAGGAACATCTCAAGATATTTTGTTGCCTGAGGCAGAGCAGCCAATGATAGCCCTGGGCATGTTACACAGTAGCAGGGTATGCCTTGACCACAAGATTCAGTTCAGACTCCAACGGACACTTCATTAAACAACCCAGTTAGGCTCAGGCCAATATGGAGGCTGCCCAATTTGTTCTAGTAGTTGGAGTCTGCTTTCTGTCCCCTGCACTTCCCTATTGGGAAATCAAAAAGCGGCTATAACTTTTTTCCCCTTTTGGCAGAACTGGATGAAATAGTAGGCCCTCCAGAATGGATTAGGCCTGGCACATTGCAGGTAGATAGCTCCAGGTATTTTTGTTCTGGACACCTATAAAGTTTTATTTTTATTTGGTTTTGGGGGTGATAGAATTTGATAGGATTTACAAGCAAGATTGTCTCTTCTGAGGGAATGAATACTGCCAGTTTTCAGATAGAGAGCTACAGTGGTTTTCCTACAAGGGCAACCATCACAGTTTCAAGGGTAGAAATCAGATTTATTTCCCGCAGTGTTTTGTTGGCAATTGGTCTGAAAATCACAGACATGAAAGAGGTGCCCCCAGGTAAGAAACCTGCCAAACTGCATACAAATAGGTCCAGCAGCTTTTGTAATGGGCACCTTTAAAATTGATTTTGGGGTGGGAGGGATTTGCTTTCCAAATAAAATCCTTCCCTCTGATTATGAGCTAGCTAGACAGATCAGTCATAAAGGATCTTTTCATTAATTAATTAATTAATGATGGAGGACCAGAGCTAAATGCTTTCATAGAATCATAAAATGGCAGAGTTGGAAGGGATCCCGAGGGTCATCTTGTCCAACTCATGCAATAAAGGAATCTCAATTAAAGCATCCATGACAGATGGTCAGCCAACACCTGCTTAAAAACCTCCAACCTCCCTAGGGAGTCCATTCCACTGCTGAACAGCTCTTACTGTCAGAAAGTTCTTCCTGGTTTTCTAGTTGGAATCTCCTTTCTTGTATCTTGAATCCATTGGTTTGAATCCCACCCTCCAGAGCAGGAGAAAACAAGCTTGCGCCATTTCCCATGTGACAGTCCTTTAGATATTTGAAAATGGCTATCATATCTCCTCTCCGTCTCCTCTTTTCCAAGCTAAACAGACCCAACTCCCTCAACCATTCCTCATAAGGCTTAGTTTCCAGACCCTTGATCATCTTGGTTGCCTGCCTCCACATAAGTTCCAGCTTCTTAACGCCCTTCTTAAATTGTGGTGCCCAGAACTGGACACAGCATTCTAGGTGTGGACTCGTAGTCCAAAACATCTGGAGGGATGCCCATTGGTTACCCCAGATCTAATCAAACCCCCACTTGATGCAGAAAACCTAGAGCATCTGCAACATATGGCTGCACAGCTTCTACTTGACAATAAATACCTAGTGAGGAAGACCCCACTAAGTCACTGATCCATGGAAGCCATTAACAAAAGAACATGAGAAACAAAACATTGAAGGATGATTTGTTTTGTGCCCTGGTTTAGCAACTTATCAGGAATAGAACTAAAGATGAAGTTTATTATGACTTCCTTCCTTATTTATTTCTAAACATCTATATCTCCTTTCGATATCAGGGCACACGGCAAAGAACAACATGTCCTTCTGCGTCTCTGGTCTGAAGATAAGCTCTATGTTTGCTGTTTTCCACTGGGCTGAAATCACAACTTTCTCCCAAGGTTTGCTCCAGATAACAGTGATGCAATCTGCATTTTCAGTCAAAGGGTGAGTGCAAAAGTTCTGGAGGCAAAGGGACAGATCCTGTTGTGCAGCCACATTTGTAGTGATAAAGCAATGCCCAAGCAAGCCAGAGGAGGTTAGAGAGGGGCAGAGGAGCAGCTGTGGCATGTGCCTTGGGTGGCACAATGTCTTGTGCCAGCCCTGACATTACTCTCCAAAACTTATGGACTACAATTCCCATCATTCTCTAATGCTGACCATGCTGTCTGATTGAGGGAGCCCAAGAAGACCTGGAGAGCACCAGGTTGGGGAATGCTGGTTGATGTACAAGGAGGCATTTTGCCATTCAAATGTACTCTCAGAGGTAAAAGGATGCTTTTACATTCATATTACAAACTGGATTATGCAAAAACTGCGTTAAGCCTCTTCCATGAAAACCACCCTTAGATATCCCATTGTGAAACCAGCCTGGCAAATTCCTGCTTTTGAATTAAAGACGTGCCCAGTGTTAAAATAACATTATAAATACATTTGCAAAAATGGGTATGTTCTGAAAATCTGAAAAAGTATTAAGAGAAATTTGCACTAAAATGCTGGCAAATTATCACGAGAAAATTGCTGTGGAAATGTGGAGACCAAAATCGGCAGATTCACTCATCTTTATTTAAAATCTGCTTTTATTCCAATGGACTTTTCTAAGGGGTTTGCAAAAAGGGAAGGGGAGAAGCAAAAATCAGGATCTATCCATAGATCTCAGGATGTTTGAAGCATTTCAACAAGGATTTCTTACTAGCAACAACAACTCCATTGCCTCGAACCCCCATTATAATCCTAAAACGAAGAAAGCTTAGGTTAATCAGGAATGAATTTGGTTGTGGAAGGACAATGAGCTCAGCCGAGTTTAGGGACTCAAAAGTAATTTTGGGGGCTCCAAACCTGGCACTCAGATAATTGGTGGAAGCAGGGATGAAGCACCTGCATGAGATTACACAAATTAAGCTCCCTAATTTAAGTTACTTTATTTGCATGATTAGCACCCAGATTTGCATTTTATGGAAACTGCATTGATGGGTTGGCAGCTCCTAAAGCCCACTGGGGCTGAAGACAGACAATAGCTTTTAAGAAAGTTGAAAGTCTTATTGCACACACATTTCATTTGTCTGCCTTGTTGTCACTGGACAAAGTAGAGCTGAACTGAAATTTATTTATTTTTTAACCGTGATGGCTGTGTATCAGAGATTGGTATACCTCTGCATATCAATTGCTGGTAATCACTGGACGGTAGAGTCCTGTTGCACCTGCAGGCTTCCCATAGGCATTTAGTTGGCCTCCTTGACAATATGGTGAAGGTCTAGATAGGACTTAGGCCTGCTCATGTGTCTCTAAGTGGTTTCCTGCTGGCTGCAGTTCCTGGAATGCCTTGGAAGCGATCACTGAGGTAAACCCCTCAGCAACCTTGTAAGATTTTAGTACAGTAAGAAGCAAGCCTCTTCCCCCAAAATTCACAGGTTTTTCAATTTTAGCAGAGGATGAATATTTTCTTGAAACAAGAGGGAGATTGTCCTTAGGCCAAAAAGCTTTTGTGGGGCTTGGAAACAGAACAAAACCCAATATATGCTTACCAAAGGCAACAGTAGACTGGGTGTGCCCAACAGCAGTGCCTCTTTCATATGGTCATCAATACTCAGGGAGAAATCATGTCTCTCTTTTGGACTGAACTGCTCAGACATGCAGTTCTCATCAGCTCTATCTAGCTATCTATCCGTCATATAGATATATAGAAAAACACACACATTTTGCAGACTTCAAAACACTATTAGTCATATCTCTGACCTGCATTAATCCACATGTTTCCTGATGTTGGGACTGGGAGTGATATTCCAAGCCTCCATTTTATTCCCAGGACAGAGTCTCACAGCATACTTTATTGTTCACTATCTCAAACAAGAAATACATTTTTTAAATCTGCTCCTTGGTTTCCTTTCAGACAATGAGATCCCCTGTAGCTTCCCTGCAGGCATGACGATGTTTAGCCTTAACACAGAGGCAGGCAAGGAGACAACGTTTCCTCCTGTTTTCACTCTAGAGCTACAGGAAGACTAGTGGGCAGGCAATCAGGGGAGGGGGTTCCTTATCCTTGACAATCCTTCATCTCCAAACACTTTTGTATATTTCTCGTGGCTCACGCACTCAGTCAGCAGCACTGCATCTGTTCTGGAAGAGTACAGCTATAGATTAGAGAAAGAGAGAGAGAGAGCTCATTCATCATTGCGTTAAATAGGTGCTTTTATACAATGGTAGGAAATCTCCATTCATAACCCTTCATTCATAAGCTTCCATGCTCAGAACTAAGAGAGAACGAATTCCACAAACTGTTGCTATGTGGAACGATCCTGTTCAGAGTTCCAGCCATATGCTCTTCCATTCACACACCCCTTCCCAGTTTTCTCTTTTTGTCCCCCAACAGTCAATCAGCATTTCATGCCCACTGAAATATTCTCAGCCCCCATTGACTGTTTCCCTGTCCTTTAGCTAATCTTCTAATGACTGCATGTACTTCTATACAATGTGGAGTTCCCTAAACTTGGTAATATCCCCATGCTGCTATAACAGCCCATGAAGAGTAGCAGTCACAGAACTGAGTTTGCTCTTAGTGTACTACAGGGGTTCACTTAACAAAATGTTGCAGTGCATCCCTGGCAAGAGTGCATTACCTGAGCTGGGGGAGTTGAAAAAAATTAACAGTTGGCATCAAAGCCAGGAGTCCTTACTCTAACTGGGGTCCTACTTGATACGATTGTCTGCTGCTTCTGAACTGAAGTCCAGCAAGGCTGAGCATAAAGCCTTCATCCTGGTTTGCATGCATGAAACTTATATCTGGTCTTTATTGAGCCTTCATTCTGGTTTCTTTCAGGGGAGGTTATATATGCAGCTTATGAACACACAACCTACATTCATCCTGATTTGCTTGTGGAGTGTTTGTATATCTTCTGGCTGGGCATCGTTCATGCTGCTTTTCGATACTTTCCCCCATCACTGTAAAACCTACCCAAAAATAAAAATATGGATTTGTCACGCATGGGCAGGGGGAAGACACCTCCTGCCCATGGGCCGAATTAGGGTCCCAAATTGGCCTTCAAGGCTTTTTCCCAAAACCACAGCCACCTGCCCATATATGATGCCAGGTCTGGGGCAGGTAGAGAGTTGGTTGCCAGTGTACAACCAGGTTCTTTGAAGTGTGGTCTCGATTGTTCATTGGCAAGGGAAGTTTGATGCTACTGCCAGCCAGATGATTGGCAGCAAGAGCAAGCCTGCTAGGGCATCTTTGCTACTGGACACTGCAGCCTATCTCAGCAGAAAGCAGGTCTTGAAGTCACTACCTAGGAGCAGATAGCCAGAGGCTTCGAGCGCATTGCATTGATTGCACTACAGAGTCCCCCAGGAAGTTCACCACACCACACCAGGTCCTGCAGAAAGTTGGTCTTGAAGTGGGTCTCAAGGCCATAGCCACCTGTCAAAATGGCCCCACCAAGGGTGGGTGAACCCAGGTTGCAGCCCGCCAGCTGGGCCTGATTTCCCACCCCATGCTAGGGCAACAGAGTGACTTAATCCATTTTAATTGCACGAACCAAAATTTCCCGGGATGTGTTTGAACCTCCCGCAAAATCCTGACTGTCTGGAGGTGTCTGCAATTTACAACTCATCTATGACCATCCAGAGAGGAAGGCCACGGACTGGCCCTTGTGGCTGCAAATGTGAACCCTCTTTTGCTATTTCCTAGGAGAAGCAGCACATCTGCCTGGGCCGGCAGCTGCTCACCAGCTGTGTGTTGCAATCTGCCAAATACCAAGCAAAGGCCATGCCGCTGGTGGCGGCTTCACTCCGCTTCTCTCTTCATTTACATCAAACAAAAGCCAGCTGGAGCCAGTATTATTATTTGTCTTCGCAGGAAGACAGCTATTCTGTGCAAACTTGAGTGTTTATTTGCTATGGGCTAGATTTTAAAGGCCGTCGTTCCCACCTTGATCTCCACCTTTCATTTCAAGCAGACGAGTCCAAATGGACATGACATCCTGGCTTGAGAGAAGAATCAGAAACAATCCCAAAGAATAAGAAACAAAACAAAAATGATTTGAAAGGGAACATCAGGCAGACAGAAAAGCAAATTGGTGTTGTTGTTGTTTGCAGTGCTAGTACAGCCAATTGCTTGCAGTCTGAATTAAAGCAGAAACTTTCTGAAAGTTTTTCTTTGCTTTCCCCCCACCAAATGTGCAATGATGTGAGTGGAAAGTTAGCTATTTGATAGGTGGAAGAGGAAGAGGGTGGAGAGTAGCTAAAATCAGCTGGGTAGGAATAGGTTTAGGAGATCACTAGATCCAACTGCATTCATCACTAATGTTACATTAATGTGTGTTTTGATTCCCATATAAATACCATGTGTTATTGTCCGTGGGGGTTTGAACATCTACCCCACCTACACACCACTGTTAGTTTTGTAAGATGGTGACAGGGGTCTGGTGGTACCACAACCACGGATGCACTGCCTCTCTTCCTGCTGCTCTTGCTGCTTTGGTTCCAACAGTTACTGTGCATGCGCTCCACTGCACATGCGCATTGTCTTTGTAAAGCCTGCAAATAACATGACACTGCAGAGGCTTCAAGACTAGGTCTAGTTGGTGATGGAAACATTAAATTGCTTTGAGGTGGTGGGAGAGATTTGGAGCAACTTGGTGCTCACCAAATATTTTGACTACAACTCCCATCAGCCCTGGTCTTCATAGCAAATAGTCAGGGATGATGAGAATTATAGTTCAAATCACCCAGAGGGCAGCAGGTTGGGAAAGGCAGATTTAGAGCTTCTCTGACTACAATAGTCAAGCTTCTTCTCGTTTTGTTGCGGAAACCTATTTGTTAGATGAAATATACTCGGAATCGAGTGTGGATTTCATGCTCTTTATTCAGCTCATAGTAGTAAGGAATGAAAGTTCCCCCAAAATATCTGCTTTATATACATTATTTACACAATGGGCTGCACGTGATTGGCTAATTCCGGGATTCTCCTTAGGCCAATCAGGTTGTGGATTCACTTCCACCTGGAGCTGGATTGGGTGGCTCCTTCGGACCAATCATACTTCTGCATTGTTCTAGGACCAATCAGACTGCTGCATTCTGAATCCTATTGTTCTAGAACCAATCAGACTGCTGCATTTTGGATCCTATTGTTCTAGGACCAATCAGACTGCTGCCTTTTGGATCCTATTCAACTCAGTACATAACATTAGATTACACAGTTGTTTAAATCGTTCAGGTCCCCATTGCAGAGGGTTGAATCAGAGGGTCAGCTCAGGGGTCCCTTTCAACTCCACAGTTCTACAATTCTATGATTCTATGAGTATGAAAAACCTCGTCATTGCTAGCATTCAACATTTCACATGCTACAAAAATTAAGTTTGCAAAAAATAATAACCGTGGAAGTCCAAGAGCCCCTTCACGTTTGATGTGTGGTTCCGTGGCAGAAAGAGCATGTAATCTCCAGTTTGAACCGCATTCTCCTTTGCTGAGTGGATGAATCTTCTCTGTTTTTGCTTTGTACATATAATCTTCTAGCGTGGCAAATAAAGCAAGGGCAGAAATAAGCAAACCCCTGGCTATCAGCATCCTTGTCTGAGAGCTGCAGATAAGGTTTGTACTGCAAATAGCCTGCTCTCTCACACAGACATTCCAACACTGGGATCACTTCATTTAGGTCTGCAAGGGGGGGGAGAGGTGGAACTGGAATCAAAGCAACAAATGCACCCAAAGAAGTTGCAGGGAGGTCACACAACAACAACAACAACAACAACAACAAATTATTTCTACCCTGCCCATCTGGCTGGGTTTCCCCAACCACTCTAGGCAGCTTTCAACAGAACATTAAAAACAGAATTAAACTTCAAACATTAGAAACTTCCCTAAACAGGGCTGCCTTCAGAAGGCTTCTAAAAGTAGGATAGTTGTTTATTTCCTTGACATCTGATGGGAAGGAATTCCACAGGGCTGATGCCACTACCAAGAAGGCCCTCTGCCTGGTTCCCTGTAACCTCACTTCTCACAGTGAGGGAACTGCCAGAAGGCTCTCAGAGCTGGACAACGGTGAATGATGGGGGTGGAGACACTCCTTCAGGTATACTGGGCTGAGGCTGTTGAGGGCTTTAAAGGTCAGCACCAGCACTTTGAATTGTGCTCGGAAACGTACTGGGAGCCAATGTAGGTCTTTCAGGGCTGGTGTTATATGGTCTTGGTGGCCACTCCCAGTCACCAGTCTAGCTGCCACATTTCCGAGTCACCTTCAAAGATAGCCCCATGTAGAGCGCATTGCAGTAATCCAAGTGGGAGATAACTAGAGCATGCACCACTCTGGCAAGACAGTATGCAGGTCTCAGCCTGCATACCAGATGGAGCTGGTAGACCAGGCATAGGCAAGCTCCGGCCCTCCAGATGTTTCGGACTACAATGCCCATCATCCCTAGCTAACAGGACCAGTGATCAGGGATGATGGGAATTGTAGTCCCAAACATCTGGAGGGCCAGAGTTTGCCTATGCCTGTGGTAGACTGTATAACAGTGCCCCCAGCTCCCAGCTCCTCTAGACGGTCCAGAAGGATGTCATGATCAATGGTGTCAAAGACCGCTGAGAGATCCAGCAGAACTAGGAAACAGCTTTCACCTTTGTCCCTAGCCTGCCGGAGATCACTGACCAGCAGGACCAAGGCAGTTTCAGTCCCATGTTGAGGCCTGAATCCCGACTCGAAGGGATCCAAATGGTCTGCAACATCCAGGCGTGCTTGTAGTTGTTCAGCAACCACCCACTCAATCACCTTGCCCAAGAATGGAAGATTTGAGACTGGGCGATAGCTGGCCATATCTGCCGGGTCCAAAGATATTTTTTTTAAGAAGCGGTTTAATGACTGCCTCTTTCAGCAGGGCTGGGAAGACTCCCTCACAGAGGGAAGCATTCACCACCCTGCAGAGCCCATTGTCCAGACCTTCCTGGTTCGTTTTTATTAGCCAGCATGGGCAAGGATCAAGTAGACAGGTGGTTGGTTTCACTCGTTCAACTGTTCATTTACATAATTTGATCAAGCAGCATTTCGCCATGAGGAAACACTGGAGTCTGCCTCATACTTGGTCAATTTACCTCAGTTTTATCTAAACTGACTGTTTGCTTCTGCAAAAGTTTCAGGGTGGACATACTGCTTTGTTTCCAGTTGGTGCACATCCCACAAATTCCTGCTGAACTCCTGTAGTTTTCCACACCACAAAGGTTAGGAGTTGTGTGTGTCCTGCTCTTGTAGTGCCATAGTGCAAGAGTGCCCCTTCTGACTGCAATGATGCAGTAAGACCGGGGAAGCATCACAGAACAACTAATAAAGCAGAATGATGTGTGGATGGTCCAATGTGACTCCACCACCAATGCACTAATATTGCATCAATGGCATGTTGCAGAATACACCTGCAAAACTCCCATTGCAGTGGGCACAATGAGTTCTTTTTTCAAGTGGTGAGCACAGGAAGTTAGAAGGCTTTGGTATACAATCCTACAGTGACTGTCACTTCCCATGATTGCTGCTAGTGCAAAAAGACTAGCAGGACTATGGGCACTACCATAACAAGAGCAGGGCCAATCCATTTGATAGCACTTCCTTCTGACGTTATTCTTCTTCCCACCTTATGTTTGGCACCACCATTGCTGTGGAAAACCACCCATAGTGCTGTGTTTTTATATTGCGATTTTATTGGCAGATGAAGATGGTGGATTTTTCAGAGCTGGCCGACCTGACTGGAAGAGTCCGCGACCAGAAGGAGGAGGAGTATCAGAAAGAATGAATGAAATTTAAAGACTATTTAGCTAAATATGTTAAGGTAACTTAATTGGAAAAGCTTGCAAATAATAGATAGGCTTAGGATTCAAATATGTAAGGATAAGATGTTTAAAGTCAAATTAGAAAGAATGAAATATGTTAAGTGATCAAGTTAATTTTTTGAGAAAATCGGTTTTGGAAAAGTGTCGAAACGATATATAATGAAATTCAACCAAGGGGATTTGAGGAAGTCACTTATTAATGTTACCAAGATTTAAACAGGATGTATGTATGTATGTTTGTTTGTTTTGAATTTTTGAAAATCAATTAAAAAAATAGAAAAATATATATATATCTTGCGATTTTATTGTGTGAACAGTGGCGGAACTTCAAGTTCCGGCGGGGGGCAAGAGCAGGCGGGGCCGGGGCTGGCGCGTGTCCCAGGGGCGTAGCGTGCATCCTGGGGGCCTGGCACCCAGCATGCGGGGGAGGGGCAGTCGCGATGGCACCCCACTGGGATTGTGCCGCTGGGTGCGGTGCACTCCCCCCGCACCCCTGTTCCTCCGCCATTGTCTGTGAACTCCCCTGAGACTTATGGGTATAGGGAAGTATATTAAATAAATAAATAGTGCTGGTTTTTTTGCAGGGAAAGCTCTGGACACAGAGCTTTGAAGCGCAGGCGGTGCCTGGAAAGAGTGGGGGAAAGTTAAGTGTGGACAAGCCCTGTATCTGTCTCTGCCAACAATGGGGGTTAATCTCCAGCCTGTGCTTAAAGGTCATCATGTACAGAAAAAATAAATATTCCCGTAAAAACCTGAGTACAAGGAGACCACCTTCGTTTGTGAGTCATGAAATTCAGAGCAAGGCTCAGTCAGCCAAGTTCCAGAAGCTGGGCAGGCTCTATTGCCTCAGGCAGCAAACCTGTCTGGAGATGAGTCACTGCCACTCACGCTGCCTGCTCTGCTCCGGGGACCCGGTGGCTCCAGCAACCAGTCACACCAGAAAATCAGCCCTACCTTCCCGTGCCAGAACACCACCCGTGACGCCCGCACTTTGCAAACAAGAAGGCAGGCTGCAAGCAGGGCCCAGTGTGTTTGCAGCTGATAACCAGACCAAAGAATTAAAGAGGGGACTCTGCCTACAACTGAGACAAAACAAGGAGGTTTAGCGGCGCTTGTCCTTTCCGTGACCTAGCCAAGCAGAAGCACTGGAAAATGCCCTTCATGCTTCTACATCCAATCAGAGAAGCAATCTTGCTTTACAGGTTCCATGGCTATAGCAAAGGCCACCACCTGCCCTCTCTTCTCTGGTTCTGAATTCTGCACAGCCTACCGATAAGATATTAAACTGCATCCATGTGGGCAGACAACGGGCGTGCCCCTTCTGCACTGCCTGCTACCGCCCAGGGCTTGCTTCTGTCTTTATGCTGTCAATCAGGACTCCCACAGGACTATAGCAGACAGACAGGTTTCGGCTCGGCACGCGCTGAAGGGTTGTGCTGTGTCTCCGAGCAGAGAATGCCTCAGCATAAATTTCCACAATGCTGCTGCTCACGCATTCCAGAATCCGATCGCAGCTGGGCTCCCAGTGTGCCGCAGCTGCAGCCATCCCGCTGCCTGGATCGCAAGAGCCTGCAGGGAAGCTCTTCCTGGCATTTATCTGTTTGGACCCTGCCATCAGCCTATGGGCAAGGAGACAGTGTGTTTGCAGTATTCTCTACCTGCCCTCTCCCAGCTTGCAGCCATTTCTGTGGGGTCCCCGTTCAGGGAGCCCACCTCTCCCCATTCCCTCCAAACGCTCTCCGCCAGTCTACTGCAGAGACATACTGACGATACAGTTTTTAAAACTCTGCATGCATCTGTATGACTGTATCCTTGACTGCAGTTGGGGATTATGTTCTGGGGGAAAGCAGACCGAACCACTCATCCTGATCTGTTAATCTCAGAACCTTTTATTTCCAACAGGAATCCCCAACCCAGAATTTACTGTTTTACAACTAGATTCCTATAATACAGCTATTCTTCCTCCTTGAACCAGCTTTGCTCCATGCCAGACTCTATCATTTAGGGAGCAGCTGTACTTTTGGGAGCCAACATCCCAGCTACAAAAAGGTCAGTACAGAGTAAAGATAAAGATAAAGGGACCCCTGACCATTAGGTCTGGTCGTGACCGACTCTGGGGGTGCGGCGCTCATCTCGCTTTATTGGCCGAGGGAGCCGGCATACAGCTTCCAGGTCATGTCAACAGCATGACTAAGCCGCTTCTGGCGAACCAGAGCAGCACATGGAAACGCTGTTTACCTTCCCGCCGGAGCGGTACCTATTTATCTACTTGCACTTTGACGTGCTTTTGAACTGCTAGGTGGGCAAGAGCAGGGACCGAGCAACGGGAGCTCACCCCGTCGCAGGGATTCGAACCGCCGACCTTCTGATCGGCAAGTCCTAGGCTCTGTGGTTTAACCCACAGCACCACCCGCGTCTCATCAGTACACAGTAGGGGGTCCTAATCAAGAGGATATTTTTTACTGCAAAAAGATTGAAAAGTTGGAGAGGGAGAGGGAGAGGGGGAGAGAGAGAGAGAGAGAGAGAGAGAGAGAGAGAGTTCTAAATGTGTCAAAAACATAGAAAGCTTCTAAATGTGTTCAACACATAGAAAGCTTACTTATCCCAAGTCAGATGACCATTAGTCTATCTAGCTCAGTGTTATCTTCAAAGCAGTGGCGTAGCGTGGGGGGTGCAGGGGGGCCGGCCGCACCGGGCGCAACATCTGGGGGGGGCGCTCGCGCTCGCAGCTCTCTGCCCCTACCTAGCTCACTCACTCTCTCTCACTGCAGTGCTGGCTGTGCAAATCCGATCCGAGCCGCTGGGTCACTGCCCACTGTGGAGGTGGTGGGTGCCAGGCGTGCGGTGCGGAGAGAGAGCAAGGGACTATCTGGGGGAGGGACAGCGCAGCGGCCGCCCAGCGCAGCGCTGAGCGCGGGAGAGAACCACACCAGACCAGACCAGGCAGCAGCAAGAAGAAGCTGGCAGCGGCGGCAGGTTAGGGGTTAGGGGGCGCAAATTACTTGCCTTGCCCCGGGTTAGGGGGTGCAAATTACTTGCCTTGCCCCGGGTGCTGACAACCCACGCTATGCCGCTGCTTCAAAGTTACCTCCAAAGTTTCAGAGAGAGTTCTCTCCCAGCTCTACCTGAAGATTCTGGGGGTTGAATCTGGGGATTTCTACATGCAAGGTACATGCTCTACCAATGAGCTACAAGCACTTCTACATGTACTATACAGTGCAATTCAGCCTTGCACTTGAGCTAACAATTCAATTTACCATCCAAGAGCAATGCAAAAGTGTTGAATCAGCCTGAAGCCAACAGAGATGTTGGAGAGAGTTATTTGCTTAGAACAAGGAGAGAAAGGGAATGAGTGTCCCTATGCAATGCTTCTACACCACTGGCTGCCTTCCTCCTGGCCGTGGAGAATATTCCTCATACGGCTACCAGCTGAACTGTTAATTATTCTGTTGCTACTAATGCCAAAGTACAGCAGAGGGACCAGAAGACAAATAGCTCTCCTGAATGCACTTTATCACTGGTTCATACAAATGTGCACCATCCTTAAGGTGGGGGCCACAAACACAATACCACAAATAGGAAATACAGGGTCTAAAAAAGAGGACTAAATGAGGACACAGTTTTGCATGAACCTGCCTGTGCTAATTTATATGTGTAGATAGACATTTAGGAATTATTACTATAATTTAAAAAGAAATGCAGCACATTTCATCATAGTGGGGAAGGCTGTGGACAGGTGACCCATATGCATAGCTGTCAACTTTCAGATTTGAAAATAAGGGATCAGCAGCCTCACCTGTCCCGGGGACAGTCTACGAGATATCTAACAATCCGGGATAGCAGCAGGAAGCAGCGGGAAATGGTGCTGGAATAAGGGAATTTCCCACAAAAAAAGGGAAGGTTGACAGCTATGCCCATATGCCTGCTTTGTCTACTGATAGGCAACTTCAAGCCACATTCACAACATACCTTGAAAATGCCATAATACCACTTTAACCAGTCATGGCTTCTCTCCAAATAATTATGGGAGCTGTAGTTTGCAGTTATTGGGAGGCCCCTATGCGTCTCACAAGATGGTTAATAATAATAATAATAATAATAATTATTATTATTATTATTATTATTATTTTATTACATACCCCACCCATTTGGCTGGCTTTCCCCAGCCACTCTGGGCAGCTTCCAACAGGAGATTAAAAATACATTAAAACATCAGTCATTAAAAAACATCCCTAAACAGGGCTGCCTTCAGATGTTTCCTAAACGTCAGATAGTTGTTTATTCCCTTGACATCTGATGGAAGGGCATTCCACAGGGCAGGAGCCACTACTGAGAAGGCCCTCTGCCTGGTTCCCTGTAACTTTGCTTCTCGCAGTGAGGGAACTTCCAGAAGGCCCTTGGAGCTGGACCCCAGTGTCCGGGCAGAACGATGGGGGTGGAGATGCTCCTTTTGGTTTAACAAACAATCCCTAGCAACTTTCAGCTTAACAAACTTCAGCTTCCGGTACTCTTTGGGGGAAGCCATGACTGGTTAAAATTGGTGCCACAGCACTTTAAAGGTATTTAAAGGTTGCTTTTACATTTCTGCTAGCCAAATTGCCTCAGCTAGACTTACTCTTTCACAAGGAGGAAGGTTTCCTTACTCTCAGCCTCATGAAGGGGGTGAGCAAAGATCCCTTATGTGGCTGAGTTGCAAGCCAAATGCTTTTTTTTAAAAAAAAATCAATCCTATTTTGAGATCTGGTGCTAGAGCATATTGCGCTAACTGTGTGGGTGGAAACACAGCACAGCCAACAGCTCCACATGCTGTTCTGTGCTGTCACCTGGCTGAGACGTGGCAATCAGCAATTCTGCTGCCACGGAAAATGATGCCCCAAATCCCAGCCTGCTCAGGCCATTCAGTCAGGCATATTGGGATGATGTGACCTTTAAGTATATGTGGGGTGGGCCCTCTGCCAGCCCCAAGGAAAGTGGCTAAGATAGTAATAAGTTAAGTACACAGTCAGCGCAAATAGTTATTAACGTGTACATAAGTGAGGATAATTATCTTATTTACTCTTAAACACGTAGTACGCTGCACAATCAGCAAAGAGTTATTTGAAATATTCACCCTCAAACCTGGGTTCTCTGTGAGAAGCGCAGAGGGGGCTTCTCATGGGGGCTATTATCACCCTGTCCTCCCCAATAGCTGTTCTGGCTACATAAACAACAGCACTCACAGCCTGAAGATCTGAAATAGAGGAAATGTATCTTTAAAGACATGTGATGAAGAATGCAATGGGGCTGGTGGTGCCCACCAGGAATGGCCAGGCAGCAGGCAGGGAGACCACCCATAGGTGGAGTCAGAATCAATGACAGGCAGAGCCAACTAATTAAAGCCCCACCCCCATCTCTGCTGAATCCACAAGGGCAACACGGAGACTAAGGGGAAGGAAGCTGACAGGTAGTGGCACTGCATGGACTGATTGTAAGTAGGAAGACAGGCAGCTGAGGGAAGGCTGAGGTTGATGTGGTCATTTACCATTTGCCCTCATGGACCAGCCTCCGGAAAGATCCTGGGGCCAACCCTCAGCTCAGTCCTATACATGAGACATTGTGTCAAGTTGAGTAATTATTAATGACTGCAATATGGGGTTGACAACTTCTCACCCATGGGTTACTTACTTAGGGTTGTGTTCAATGTCAGTTCTATTCAGAACAGACCCATCAAATTAAGAGACATGAGTAACTTCAGTCCATTTTAGGGATGAGTGAATTCATCAGTTTCTGTTTTTCATTTTTCCAGTCTTAAGCTCGGTTGTCCACATTTCCACCTCAGTTTGTGATTTTTCTTTTAAATTCCTCATGAAAATTCACCGGCAATTTTTTTTTCAAATTCATCCTAATGTATGTACACATTTCTGTATCCATTTTTGCAAAACATTTTCCCCAAATATAATGCATTTTGTATGTTATTTTCACGAAGATATGCATTTCAATGCACACTTTAGTAAATGCATTTTTGCGAACATTGTTTGGTTGGAACTGCAAAATTTTGAGAAGCGTGAATTTCCAAGGACAGCTGTTTGAGTTTGCATATTGTTTCAGAAGCTGTGAAATAGGTCAGTTCACCTTTAAAAGTGAACTGAGTCAATTTTCTCCTGCATCCTTCATCATCCCCCCCACCCCAAAGCAGGTAGAGTATGCTATATAATTTAAAGGAATACAACCTGTTATGTTGCTTAGATCCCTTTTATCTCTTAGCACAGGCTAAGGAACAACTAAGCAGGGCCTCCTTGCACTTACTCAGTCCACAAACCATTACAACAACATCATTGCTGCCGTGTACACATTCTCACTTGTCAGAGCAAGGTGGAAGCTGACGGCTTGCAGCAGCACATCCACCGAGGGTCCCAAATGAAGGCAGGCAAAGCATCAGCTTCACTGGCAAATGCCTCAATGGACCAGGTTCAAGAAAAAGAAGAAGAAGGGGGGGAAGCCCTTGAGATTTTGAGAATCCTGACAAAGCCACCAGACTCCACAGAAGAAGCACAGATTTCTCCCTGTGCAATACGAACTTCCATATGACACCCCCTCCCAAAAGAAATCTAACTCCGCCTCTGGCAATATTTTCTCCCTCCAGCATGGGTGTCTCTTACCGCATTGGAATCTTTACTCTGAGGTAGCGATCCACAGCAATGGCCAGCAGTGCCAGGATGGAGCTCTCAGTGAGGATGAGGACAGGACATGCCACCATCAGGCAGCTGTAAAAATGTATCTGTGGTCCAATGTTGATGATGATGGCAAGCGGGATGACAAGGGCTCCCACAGCTACATCTGCAATGGCCAGGGAGACGATGAAGTAGAAGGTGGCATCCCGCAGGGCCTGGTTCACCTTGACGGCCCAGATCACCAGGATATTCCCAGGTATGGAGACAAGGGCGATCAGCACCTCGATGGTGATGTAGGCAGCCTGGAAGCCCGAGATGTGATGCGGCATGGTGCTCTGAGAACCCTTGTGTTGCCTGAAAGGATCAAAGGAGTCATGTGTTTTAAAGACAGAAGCGACCACCAAAGTATTCAAAACCCAAACATCTTTAATTTTTGCATTTATTAGCTTAGGTATTGCTTTCATACCCTGCCTTTCATCCTCCTGGAACCCAGGGCAGCTAACAGCAATTAAAACCATACAAAAATATATCCACGTTAAAGGCATCCAAAATAACCTCACAGTCAAGCATTACCAACTTTTAAAGTAGGAGTCATATAGCCTGACTCTATACTTCAGTAAGTTTACAGATTTCCTTGCATGCCACATTTTCCTTCGCACTGCAAAACTCCTCAAATGATTTCCCAGAGCTGGCAGATGATGGTCCCTTGTTCTTTCCATACCATTGACTGTGCTCCGACTATTTCCAACTCAAATTTGCCATTCCTCTGATAGCCTGGTCACCACCAGGAACTTCACACTAAAAGGCTGTGCAATCTGAGTGCGTCTGCTGTGCAGAGAACCTGCCCTTCTGCCCATATTGGCTGCTGCAATGAGAGATTCCACCTCTGGTCCCTATCTCTCCAGTTCAGCAGCCAGGTAGTTTTTAAGCAGCATTAAGAGAGCATCTGTGAATGCTGCTGATCAGTCATGTGGTTGCAGAAGACTAGCCTTATGAAAGTTCCTAAGAGAAGTGGTCACCCTTGTCCACACATGCCTAGTTCCAAGATTCTTGTTTAAATAAAAATAGATTCCATTGTGTCTACAAGATTATCAGGCTTTGGCAAACTTCCAAAGTATCCCCCCCACCCCCCAAAAAAACACACACCCCAGGATTGCAGTCACTGGGGATGTCTTTTATATGCTGGCTTTGTGGTTTACAAGAAAATACCAGAGAGGAGGATTTCATCTTTATGTAACTAAAGCTATACTGATAATTTGCAAATGCTCCAAGTGTCCCTATTTAACAGGGACAATCCCTGTTTGTCCCACATTTTCTAGAAACCTCTCTTCCTGGTAAATCACATTCCATAGCTATTAGTAAAGATGGCTGATTATTAACTCCAGAATCAGGGACAGCATTCCTCTGAATACCAGTTGCTGGGAAACAGCAGGACCGCCTTAATGTCCTGCCTGCGGACATCCCATATGCACCTGGTTGGTCAAGGAAGAAAAGAGGATGCTGGACTAGACTGGACAAAGATGGAGAACCTGTAGCCCACCAGATGTTGGAGTTGGATGGGAATTGTAGTACAACAACATCTGGAAGACTACTGGTTCACCTTCCCTGAGACAGGCCTTTGTTCTGATCCTGCAGCGTCTTCCTTACATCCCTGAAATCCCTGTTTTCTTCCTATTTTATTTATTGCTCTATTTATTTTATTAGGAGATTTCTATACCGCTCTTCACCAAAAATGGTCACAGAGTGGTTTACAAAAACAAGGTAGGATAAAAAACATAATGCACAATAAAAAGAAACATGGAAATAATTATGATAAATAACATAATCCATTGCATCACTGAAACGACTTAGCCCAGCAGCCTCTTAAAGCTGGACCAAAAATAGTGTTCTTTTTTTACCTTGCAATTAAAAGAATGTAAGGCTGGGGCAAGATGCACTTCAATAAGGAACCCATCCCACAGATGCGGAGCCAACACCAAAAAGGCTCCTCCATGGGTTACCACCAGGGGAACCTCATAAACCGGCATATTACACTGACCATGAAATTTAGGACAGATTTAGGCCGGTATTATTAAGGTGGTGGTGGATTAATGAATTTGGAACGCCCTGTTGTTTCTCTGCATTCTTTTTGATGCTAACCTACTTGCTGTGGGAAGCTATGAGAAGTGCTCCCATGGCTCCAGATGTTCCGCTCTTAAGTGTGGGGCTGCTGGGCTTCGCAAGCTCCCCTGCCCCAGAAAAGATATTTAGCGTGATTCAGCCCCTGAACTGTTATATCTCAGTTACATTGGGAAGTAAGTCAGTCTCACCAAAATCAATGGGACTTCGTTCCAAGTGCTTGGGACTCAGCAGGAACAACAAGCCAATCAATTACCATTCAATAACAATGTAAAGCATCATTTTGCATTTGCCACTAATGCAGGAGAGCCATATTGTTGAACGAGCCTTCCTTTTCTTCAGCACAGCAAGTTTATAATGTGTCTGTCTGCCTGTCTGCCTTTCTGCTTCTCCCTCTAGTAATACAGGATTGTACCATTACATTTGTATGAAGTATACTTTAAACAGCACTTCCCAAACTTCCTCCTAATGCATTCATTTTTTCTCTCTCTCTAGGAAGCATCAGGCGGAGCCAATAAACACCTCTTTTTTGAAATGCAAGTCAGAATATTGTTCAGCTAGCACAGGGGTGGGGAATTTTTGGGCCTCTGGGTACTGTTGAACTACAATTCCCATCAGACCCAGCAACCATGGCCAATTACCAGGAATGATGGGAGTTGCAGTTCAGCAACATCTGGAGGGCCTAAGGTTCCTCACACCTGATCTAGCATAATAATACCTATTCTGCTGGATTAGAGCTCTCCAGAGTCTTGGGAAGAGAGAAGCCAACTACATCCCCAGCTACCTAGTTCCTTTTTTCGACTGCAGATACCAAGGATTGAACCCAGGAACCTGTGCATGCAAAAGCATGTGCTCTGCCACTTAGCTGTGTCCACTTCCCTTTTCTTTGTGGGAATATCTTTCCATATCACCCCAGCAAACTTGCAAGAGATGTGCTGGAGCCAACAGGGGAGACTTCTGCAAGTAACCTCTGCAGAACTATACTGCAGTATCCTGGCCATGCAGCTAGGTAGTTGACTGAGGCACACCATGCACACCATATAACTTATCTGCTAAAGGAGCTCCACTGGCTGCCAATATACTACCGGGCACCGATTGAGGTTTTCCTCACCAAATATATCTGGCAAAACCTGGCAATTGTGTTTCTCAGACAGTGTGTTGCTGAGAATACCATATGCCTTGTACCGGAAAGTAGGCTTTTAGTGTTGCAGTTCCAGCTCTCTGGAGTCAACTGCTAGCTGAATTCAGACAGGCACCTTGTATCATGATATTTAGGGGCTCACTGAAAAATGGTTTTGCTGTTTTTGGAGTTTGTAGTGGTGGTTTTATTGTTTTGCAAGTTTGTTGCATTGATTTTGTTGTTTTTAGAGCTTCTGTTGCTGTGTTTTATTCTGATTTTATCTTGTACACCTTTTGATGACTTTATGCTGCGAAGCAACCTATAAATTTCTTTAACTAGGGGCTGCTTGCTTTATTTCACCTCACTAGCCAGCCCCACTCCACCCTACCAATCGCCCCTTCTCCTTAGACTTCATTGCCTGAGAAAGAAGCTTGAATTTTGAAAAAAGTCTTCTTTCTTGTGCTCGATGGCAGCCGAGAAAGAAGCTTTTCTCCTCAACAGTAGTGGAAGTGGCAGCAGTAGGACAAAGAGGAGAAAGGTTTCTCTGCTTTGTTTTGCCCCTGGAAATGGTGGCCACTGGGAAAGAGAAAGGCTTCCAGTAGCAGTGCTGTTCTCTTATAACTCTGGAACTCACAGCACCATCTGTTGGCAGCCATGTGAACTACAGCGTCACGGCATCCTTATGCAAATACAGTATAGAAAGATAATAATAATAATACCCCTTAAAACTTAAAAAATTAGTAAGATGTGTACTTCCACACAGAAGTTGGAGAAATGGGACAGCCTATCCTATCTGGATAACAGAATCAGAGTTTCACAAAACAGTCAAGAATAGGGAGGAGGTGTACTTGCAGTAATCACTTCACAGACAAATATTCAATAGGTGGACTTGTGCAACCACATTCCACACATCAACCACAGCAGCAACTAAAGCACAATCCAAGGGATTTACCACCTGTCCCTGGCTAAACAATGTTTCACTCATAAGGCGTGAATGTTTGGAAAAGGTGACAACTCTGCAATATGAGTGCTATCTTGAGGGAAGACATGCAAATTGCACACTACAGATGGGAAGCAACTGCAGATTTATTGTGCGGACAAATGGGTACTGGTGAAAGTACACAAGTTCAGTTTTGGAGCCCCATCATGGTCTCTGATTAAACTGAGTTAGCATGTTCCTATGGTACTTCAACCTGTCCCCAGAAAAGCCTTCACACAAAGAGGTGTGACAAGCAATCTTGTGATAGGTGTTTGCATGCTTTGGTGCGACAGTCAAGGGTTCCTGTTGGATAGCAGCATGAAAAATAACACCCTTCCCGCCACACATGTATATATCCAGAGTACTTTTTGAACTGTGTTTTTTCTTCCTGCAAGGAGACAATCCTCACTTCCACTGCTCCTTCTCTCATTATGCTTTTACAGTTACAAAGCTATCAGTCCTGGATCAGGACTATAGTCCTACAAATGCAGCAAGTCATTCCCATTGTTCCAAAGAAACAATTACTTGTATACAAAGCCTAGCAAAAGCTCAAGCAGCAGCAGCAATAATAATAATAATAATAATAATAATAATAATAATAAAGCAGTTTGTCTCTAAAATGCCACAATACATCTCTCTTTTGTTTACACCTTTCTATTTTGATTTTTTTCGGGAGAAAATAGATTTCATTTGGAAAGAACAAATTGGTAGCATTTCAAGGGACAGTGGCATGTGAAATCTCTGTGGAGCAGAGAGGAGAAGCTTACTTGAGAAATAACGTCCTGCTCTCTATATCCATACATTTTCCTGACACTCACCCCTCTGACCTCTGACTATCTCCAGCCCCTTCCCTCCCCTTTAATCTCACTTTTCTCTCCTCCTGGAATTTCTTACTCTCTCCGAACTACCCACCCCCGAATCCAAAATGTACAGCAGATTCCTGGCAAATATTTGTCATGCTTAGACCTGATTTCTGTAACAAAGGCAGCCCTTCCTCACCGTGATTTCCCCTTCAAATGATACGCCTCCCTCTGCTGCTCTTGAACATTTCCCTGCCTCTAGATTAAACCCCACCACTTCAATAAACACATAGCAGAAATAACCCTGCACACTGTGGTCAAAGAGAGAGAGACCCAAACCAGCAAGGAAGTACAAGATTCAGACTCACTTTCTCCTACACAGATTCCAGTGTGTGTTACTGTTTCCTCCTCCAAGTGAAGACTTCACACCCAGGGCAGGCAGGCTGTGGGAGCGTAGGTACCATTCTGCTCTCGGATGGCTCCGTTAGATCCCCGTGGCTTCTGGCATCCTGCAGATGAATGAAACCTGCCCTGCTCTCCCTACGGCATGAACTTTTACTCCCCCGGTTGGAAGGAGCACTTGATTCACTGCAGTGTATTCTTAACTCTGATGCAGGCAGGCAGGCAGCTCTCATCCCCACGTCTCCTCTCCTGCAGCTTCTAACCGCCTTTCAAGCTATCACATGGTCCAGCACACTGCACCGGCTGTGCCTGCAATATTTTAAAGAGGTAGTGGCCTGTTTTGTGCATGTGTGTTTGTGTGTCAGGGTGGAGGGTGGGGTCTGGCTCGCTGAACTGCAACAGAATGTTGCACCAGACAGAGCCACATCGGAGAGCTTCTCTTGCTTCCATATCCCAGAGTACTGAAATCCTTTGCTAAGAAGTCAGCCACTGTTGCTGCAAAATGCTTAATTCAAAAATTGAGAGGGCTCTTCTCTTTAGCCCTTGCTATGGCAGAACAGGTTTCATCTGCTCAGTACCAGAGAAAGAAATCTCTGCACATGTTCAGAGACACTTTTATCTATTAATGTTTCACCCATTCCAAGACTCGGTCTGCTGCTAAAAAAATATTTCAGAGCTGAGTTCCCTAGGAAGATTTATCTCCATGGCAGTGAGAAGACCCCTCTTGCTTCTGCTTGCAAAAAGTGGACTCAGAGGTATCTGAAGACATGACTACCTTGACATCCTCTTGTGATTGTGCTGAGGACTTCTGCTGATGCTCTACTCCATTGGAATGAAGCTGGTAGACCTACTGGCAAGTTGACGTCTGATCTAGGGTGGATCATTAACAGCAGCATTACCAACCAAATGGCAACAATTAAGAAACAGGTCCCCACATTTATTCATAAATTAAATCTTTATCCTGCCCTTCCACCCAAAAGGAGCCCAGGGAGGCAAACATCAAAAAGTTGAAACAAGAGAATTTAAAATAAAATAAAATCACATTTTAAAACATTTCAAAATAATAAAATAATAATAATCTAAACCGATTTCAAAAGATTTCAAAAGACAGGGCTAGGCAACCTAAAGCCCAGGGGCCAAATGTGGCCCAATTGCCTTTTCAATCCGGCAATCAGCGCATTTTTACATGAGTAGAATGTGTACTTTTATTGAAAATGCATCTCTGGGTTATTTGTGGGGCATAGGAATTTGTTCATTTCCCGCCTCAAAATATAGTCCGGCCCACCACATGGTCTGAGGGGACAGTGGAGCAGAACATCCCGATGGAAAATGTCAAAATATTTATTATTTTTATTTATTTACTTTCTGTATTGTATTTATATATATCCCTTCTTCCAAAGATCTCAGGGCAGTTCACAGTATAAAAACGTGAGTTATGAAGATACAGTAAAGCTTGATACAAGCTGAATCTAGTTAACACCAGAAGGCAGAGAACTAAAGGAAATCACTGACAGATCAGTGTCTTCCCATGACTTTGATGAGGATACCAAGGAAATGGAAGAGACCACAGATCAGAACCTTCCCACTCAAGGTTCCCCAATTTGGAACTGAGACTTTATTGAGAAGTCTTTCCAGTCCTCCTGCCTTGGCTCAGGGTGAGCCCTGGCAATGCCAAGGAGACTACTTTTCCACCAGGCAAAGCAGAAAGCCAGGCATTGTCTCTGAAGCAATGGCAGCACATCAAGAGGCAGGAGCAGGAGCAGACCCAGACCCCTCAGTAAGAGCACATGGCTTGATAGAACAGGCATACCCTCCAACATGTTTCGGGAGAAAACCAGGAGGTGCGTCTTTCAGGGCCATGTTCCTGCACGAGTCACATGACCCAGAGAGACCTCCCTCACCTCTGTTCCAAAGCGTGCCGGGCAGGCAAAGCCAATTGTTGGAGCAACCTTGTACTTCCATGCATTCTCAGACCGCCCTGGCCTTATCCCTGAGGCTCCTCAACTAAGTTTCTTTGATCCTTGCCACATCTCTGGCACATAAGGGAGTCTGGACTAATTTCTGCTCTTCCCTTGCTGAGTTTGCACCATCAGTCTGCTGCAATCAAGCTTGGCTTCTTTGCTTGCAAGAAAGTGCACCTGTCATCACTCTTGGGCTTCAGCTGACATCTTGGTTCCCTGTATCATCATTCTTCACACAAATTAGATTTTTAAAAAATATACTATATGATTATTCATAAGTGACAGGATGGTAATGTGAAATGAGGTGTTAGTTATGATGGGGATGTTCTGCCAAGTGCCACTTTATTTACTGCATCTATTTTAGGGGCACCCTGAAAATTGTCTTCTTCTCACATGCATGTAAGAAGGTGGTGCAATCCACACCTCTTCACATGGTCTGTTGTGGAAAGGGATGGCTAGGTTATGGCCATTAGGAAAAGCTGTGAATGGCATGGAATCCTTGTTCTTCTTGGTTCTTATCACTGTACCAGCAAGGTAAGTGGCCAAACAGATAAGGCAGCGTTGTAAATCAGCCCTCAAAAGTTACCTGTCCGGTGTTTGTTTGTTTGTTTGTTTTTTACTACCTTCTTGGAGGTTGGCAGAAGATGGATAGGGAGCTTCATTTCTCTTGTGGGAGAGCAGAGAGGCTTCCCCCTCTTCTAGCATCCACTTGTTTTCTCTCTTCCACCATACTTGTGTGGAATTTCTAATTGCTGATGGCGACCAAGCTAGAAATTGAAATTGACAGATTCTTACTGTGATGGCCTGGGATTCAGACTCAGAGGCTGAACCTGAGGAATCCCAGCCTGCACAGGAGTACCCGCCTCCAGAACCAGCTGAGCCGGGGCTGGGGCCTGAGCCTGAAGGGTTCTCACCTGTGCTGGATCCTCAGGTGCAGGCACCAGCTGAGTCTGCTCTGGGCCCTGAGGTGATGGAGGACCCATTGCCTGCAGGTGCTCCACTCTCAGCCCCGTCAGGGGAAGAGGAGGTTGCCTCTGGGTCTGGTAGCCCTCCAGCTTTTCCTGAGCTGCAGAGGCTCAGGGCAGAGAGGTGGAGGGAACTAAGTTCCCGCAGGAGGAGTGCTCGCCTCCAGGCCAGGAGAGGCGAGTCACCTGTGGACCGGGCCCGCCCTATGCCTCGGGGCAGATAAAAGCCAGTCAGCCCCAGTCCCAGGTTGCAGGGGCAATGTTCCTGCTCCTGCCTGCACCCTGTCCTGCTCTTCTGCCAGAGTTCCTGGCCCCACCTGACTCCCCGCCTTAGACTCAGCTACAGCTTTGATGGACAGCCTCCATACCTCACCATCGACCTCGGACTGGACTCAGACCTTGCCTCTCGGTTAGCCCCCGGGACCAGCACACTTACCTCCAAGTATCCAAAAGCACATGAAAGGGAGAGTGGGGCACCTACTCTGTAGAGCAGCGGTTCTCAACCTGTGGGTCCTCAGACGTTGTTGGACAACAACATCTGGGGACCCACAGGTTGAGAAAGGCTGTTGTAGAGCTTCTAAGGATACTTTACTAACTAACGTCTAAAATTTTCTCCAGCTCTCCTGGATTTAACCAAAGACTCATGCAGTTCAGCACCCTGTTCTCCCAGTGGTCAGTCAGATGCCTATGGGAACTCTGCTTAATGATGTCTGTCATTAAGGAGGTTGAAAGTTCGAAGTACTTTCCTACATTCATCCACACAACCATTGCCATTTTCATTTTACAGGTGCGAACAGAAATCTTACCTCCAGCTAAAAAGAATCCGAAACAGATGGAAGTAAGCACATTCAATATTCATGGCTATGAACAGGAGGGATGGGGAACCTGTGGCCCACCAGTTGTGGCTGGAATGCACCTCTGCTGGAATCGTAGTTCAATAACATTTGGAGGGTTGCAGGCTCTCCATCTGTGGTTTTACATTTATATGTAAAAGTACATGGTGTTTGGCAGAATGTAAGAAGAACATTCTGCTGGATCAAGCCACTGGTCCATCTACTTCAGCATCTTGTTGTTACCATGGCCAACCAGATGTCTGTGGGAAGACTGCAAGAAGGATCTGAGCACAACAGAACTCCGCTCACTTGTGTTTCCAGTAACTGGCATTCAGAGACATACTGCCTCTACCTGTCTTGGGTTGTATGCCTCTCACAATGGAGGTAGAAGAGAGCCATCGTGACTGGTAGCCACAAAGTTCAGCAAAAGGCAGTTCCGTGCTCCAAAGATTTTTCAGTCTAAATTTTTAGTGAGGGGAGGAAGGGAAGGGAGAGTTAAAGATAACAAAGGTGAATGTGCACAAAAGCTGGTCCAGCCCTTGGTATCATTGACTTCCCAGTTTCTTCCACATCTGTGTGTCCTTTGCCATCCCCTCCCCCCCCCCACCCCCTGAATTTCTGGTGCCTTTGAGGACTTAGATTTGCTTACAGTAAAGCTTCATATAAACTGATGGTGTACTATGATAACAAACGTCTGCCAAAGTTCTATTTTGTAGAACAGCATTCCTGTTGAGATACGACAGGTGCCCCCTATTTGTAGTTTCTGGAAACAATTGAATACATTCTTGTTTCGTCAAGCTTCCCCAGCTGGAGTAAAAAAGAAGTAGATATCTGCTTTGGTTCGTGTTTGTGCATGTGTTTTTTAAGCTTAGTTTTAGTTGTATTGTTGTATGGTTGTAAATCACCTTGCAATGTATATGAAGGGCAATGAATAAATTAAATTTAAAAAGCAATGGCTGCATTGCGATTTCCTGAAACAAAATGGGAAGGTCTGTCATATCCTTCTGTCCACTGATTGAATGTAACTTTGGCATTGCATTACTACAATAACGACGGAGATGTAGACACAGTCCATTACTGCGCTAGTCATCATGTATTATATACATTACAGAAATCCTTCAGGACCTCAATTAGAATTCGGTACCCTATCCATCATATGAAAGGCAGCTACTTTGTAAAGGCAGCTTCAGGAAATTCCGTGCATTAGGTGAAATCCAGCTGGTGGATGCAACACGTAGGTGAGAAACACACAGCACAACAATGAGAGGTTATTTTGAACAGCCGGATACTCTCTGGCCACCAGCTGTTGGGGCGTTTTTTGTAGTTTTTTGATATTATTACTACTATGACACAGAGGAGATCTGAAGGGCAATTGATAGGTCTATCCAGAGTGGGGGACTCTGGAGTGGGTCCACTTGAAGTTTCACTTCTTCCAAGGTTGATGCTAATGTTCCAAAAGGAGGACATTCACCTTATTGGTGTATTTTATTGCACTTTTATCTCACCTTTCCTCCAAGGAAAGCATATGTGGCAC